GTTTAAGGCACCAGTCATTTCGATGGCGTGGGTTCGAATCCCACCGCTGCCACTGTCGGGTCGTATGTATTTCATAAGGAAGCAATTTTTTTAGATATTGACATCAAGGGACAATTTTCATTTTTTTAAAGTGCTACTGCAACGAAATTTTCGACCGCTTTTTTAGTGGCTCAATTTAAAGTGCTCACTTTCCTGATTTCATTTCTGAAAACAGAATCAAAATTGGCTGTCTCAAAAGATTTTTATAGCTCTCCAAAGTCGCGATTTTTGCCACTTCCTGTGCGAACTTTTGCTCCGCCATATTGTGGTTTGTGACGTAGAAAAGAGTACCGATTCTTAGCATGGCGTAAAAATACTAGTGTTAAGTAGCCTCGTCGACGAAGAAGCTCTGTTTCTTACAGTCCCTACTAAGCCAGTATTCATCAAAATTATTAAATATCTATATACATATGTTCCTAACGAAAAGATGGATCGCCAAAGTCGAAGAAAATATTGAATTTTTTTCCGACTTTCTGCTTCATGGTTCGCGGTTCTTTGCGCGGCTAAGTCAATTTCAATGATTCGTATATGACTCTTTTTTAGCAAGATCCCTTAAATAAAAGAGTATTTAAAGAAGATTCTGTGCATACATTTGATGTCTGAAGAATCGTAGCACAAGTTGAAAGCTAACAGATATATAGGCAAAGGCTGATTTTATCATCAATGCGAAGATACTTCGCGCGCACATGCATTCATGATGAATTATAGTGATGTTGGCCTTGGTGTCTTAATGTGCACGGCCAGTGTCGTTTCTTGAGACATTGAAGTTCAATTTAAATCAGCAAGGATGGTGTTCCTTGAGTATTTATGTAGATAAACGGACCTGTGTTAGTGTTTCTTTAATATATTTCGATATGCGCTATTGCAAAACAGTGGCAATGTGGCATTTACAATAGTGCAGTATCATATTACTGTTTATGATTTGCGGGAATATATCGCATAGTGTGATACACCAATATTATCAGTAACAAGGACATCATATCATTGCCTTCGTCTTCGTTTATTGAAAGACTAAGCAGTTTTTTTAAGTTCTTCAAGATCGTCTTATGTAGGACTTTGTGGCATAAAGGACTTTGCGGCACAACATATACATGCTTATATATGGCATATATTACTACATTATATCCCTGTCAGACGGGCTAAGACTAATTTGAATTTTCTAACAAATCGGCGTATATTTTCAGACCCTTTACCAGACATTCCTTGAATATATGTTAGGTAACAGACTTAACTTCCATTTCAAAATGAAATGATTTGGTTCTCCGCGTCAAGCTCGAAAATTCGAAACAGACAACACACAAGCTATATATATTACCATAAGCTTCGAAACATCGGTAGTCGTTATGACGTCATATCAGCAAACATGGCGCGTATAAAAGTTTGCATTTGATACCGAGGTTTGAGGGCAAAATTAGTCAACTTCTACTTAACACACAAAAGTCATATATACATCAAATTGTTTCTAAATAACTGAATATTTGTTTAGGCTAATAAAAATGGGGTCGAAAATTTCGTTGCAGTAGCACTTTAAACCAGTAGGTTTTGTTCTTATGGTAACTAGTCGTCAGGTTGGCCGAGCGTTCTAAGGCGCCAGACTCAAGAACGTCGGGAGGAATTCTGGTCCACAATGGTGGACGTGGGTTCGAATCCCAAACATGACATTTTTTTTCTGTATTACTAAATTAGTACTCCTATATTGTTTTAAAATACATTTGTGGAATTACTTCTGTCTTTTCCCGTCGATAACGTGCAATAAAGCCATATTGGTTCGAAAAGATTTTGAACAGTCAGGTTGGCCGAGCGGTCGAAGGCGCCAGACTTAAGATGGTGTATGAGTTCTGGTCCACAGTTGTGGGCGTGGGTTCGAATCCCACACCTGACAAATTTGGACATTTTGAAATAAAATTTTTGGGCTGGTCAAAAACTTCTCACAACTTCTAACCTGAAAAAGAGATTGAAACATTAAAAAAGTTATTAGCAATAAAAATAAACTAGACACAATATTTTATGGTTGATATCATGTTCCAATCCGGATTCATAAAGGCAGATACTTAACCATATAACTGCAATACATTTTGCATAGGCAATAGTACTTGTTATGCGAAATAAGCCTTTGGAATATCTAAAGTTTTGGCGGCAATTCTTTGTAGATAGCGTGGCTGCGTGGTCTACACTATTTACACGTTTATTTTATACTTGGGGAATTATGGAATAAACTTTATTCAGTTATATAGAATAATCATTCGCCAAATAGTAACACTTACAGGCTTAGGTAGCGTGGCCGAGTGGTCTAAGGCGCTGGTTTAAGGCACCAGTCATTTCGATGGCGTGGGTTCGAATCCCACCGCTACCACTGTCGGGTCGTATGTATGTAATGAGGAAACAATTTTTTTAGATATTGTTATCTAGGGACAATTTTCGTTTTTTTAAACCAGTAGGTTTTGTTCTTGTGGTAACTAGTCGTCAGGTTGGCCGAGCGGTCTAAGGCGCCAGACCCAAGAACGTCGGGAGGAATTGTGGTCCACAATGGTGGGCGTGGGTTCGAATCCCACACCTGACTTTTTTTCTGTATTAATATTATATCAAATGAAACAGAATCGCGCGTTGGGAATGGGAATTGGAAAATTATTTATCACGGAAGATGCGTCAAGACAAACAGCCAATTCAAATACGACTAAATGAAATAGAAGTGAAATGTGCAGATAATTTGTGTTGGTGGCTGATCCTTCTCTTTGTCCGTTTTTTGGCACAGAAGAACTAGAAGACGAACTACCTTTCGCTTGCTCAAGTTCGTCAAAACGGAGGATCCGTCGGTATAAATTGGACCAATTGTGAAAACTCAACCGCAGCGGATTCCTTCACCGGTCACAATAGAAAATAATTAAGCGATTTCTTTGGAAAGTTATTAGAGACCTTAAGATCGACTACGGGATTTGATGACGGCGACGGTATTCGGAGCCCGAGGCCCGGGTCGAGACTACCGTTCTCACACCAAATTTGAAGCCTTAAGAATTTTTAAAAACAAAGACGGGAAAAGTCGAATGGCATCTTTTAAACACACTCGAGAAATTCTGCTGGAAAGTTTCGATGATGGTACTATCGATGAAGAGGAATTTCTACTTCTTAATGAACTGCACTTCTCGAAAAACCCAGAGTTTCCATATAAACATATCGGCGAGTTTGATTTTCATGAGATGGATGATTTTGAATGTATGGCCGAGTTTCGATGCAGGAAAAGTGATATAGAAATGCTTGCCGAATTATTAAATCTACCTCAAAAATTTGTCTGCCCACAGGGATCAGTATGCAGTGGCATTGGGGGCTTGTGTATCTGCCTAAAACGACTGACATATCCATGTCGCTATTCTGATCTTATACACCGATTTGGAAAACCTACTCCTGTATTGAGCATGATTCATAACGAAGTGGTTGATTTTATCTACAAGGAGCATGGGCTTTTGGTTACAAGATGGAACCATTCCCTTCTCAGTTCCAGAAACCTCCAAATATATGCCCAAACAATCCATCATAAAGGGGCAGCTTTAGAAAACTGCTTTGGGTTCGTAGATGGAGCCGTGAAACCCATCTGCCGCCCCAAAAAGCTCCAGAGATCAGCTTTTAATGGGCACAAACGAACTCACGCCATTAAGTTTCAATCAGTTTCTTTGCCAAATGGATTAATTGCTCATTTGTATGGACCTGTAGGTAGGTAATAGGTTTAAATTTTGGTTACTTCTGTTTTGAACATTTTCTCTCGACTGTTATAGTAAGCTACATGTATTAATTAGTGGAAGTTTTTGCACACGTTTTACTGGAGGTGCACCCCAAAACATTGAAAGGTAAGCAGTTTACCCCCCCCCCCAACACACACACTTTTTCTAAAATTCAGGACTGGATCAACCAAATACATTATGCATGTATATACTCTTAATGCTTTTCTTTTCAAAATGATTTTAGAGGGAAAGAGAGAAAAACCATGATGCCTCCATGCTTGCTCAGTCAGGGCTTCTTGCAGACCTTGAAAGATTTGCATTCTCAGAGGCTGGCCAACCAATGTGCATCTATGGAGACCCAGCCTATCCCCTACGTGTTCACCTCCAAGCCCCTTTCCGGAATGCAGTGGTAACAGCCGACATGGAAAGATTTAATAAATCCATGAGCTCAGTAAGGGTGTCAGTAGAATGGTTATTTGGAGACATAATCAACAGATTCAAATTTATGGATTTTAAGAAAAATTTGAAAGTGGCCCTCAGTCCTGTTGGAAAAGCTTACATTACAAGTGCAATTCTTAGTAATGCATTATCATGCATGTATGGTAACACAACATCAACATTCTTTGGTCTTGAACCTCCAAATCTACAAGAATACTTACATCCCCAAAATCATTAATTAAAGAAAATTGCATGAACAAATTAACATCTTTAATATAACTTGTGTTTACATGCAATATCTGAAGTGTAAATAGTGTGCAGCAAAGCCAAGAAATATTAAAACAAAATTATGAGTGTTCATCATTAAAACGACAAATCAATATATTCTTAATAAACATCAACGTGTTATTCAGAAAGTCATTTTGATCCAAGTTTTGAAATAACAGCCATCACAATTTGATTTTGCTACTGCTGTTGTTGCATAATCATAGCTTGGAATTGTTGCTGCTGTTGCAACATCATTTTCATGAACTCATCATGCTTTTCTCTTTCCTCGTTTTGTCTTCGTTTTTCCAATTCCTTGTCCTCCATTCTAAACTTAACCATAAGCTCATTTTTTCCCCTTAAATACTGTATGGTCTCACTGCCATTAGACCTCTTTTTTTTACTGTTTTTCTGAACGTCACCTTCATTTTCTTTTCGTCTTTTAGTTTCTCCCAGTTTTTCCATAGCCTTCACACGTATATCATTAGCACTCCCTTTATCTTCATCTGCCTTCCGTTTGTTTTCCTCATTATACAATCTTTTTCTTTCTGCAGAGTCATCTTCAATCTGAATCAGCTCTTCAACCATGCCCTCAACTTCAGACATATTGGTGTCTATTCCAGATGCTCTTTCCTCGCTGCTTAACTTTCTTCGAAGCTTACTTGAAAGAAGGTTGTATCTCTCTCGAACTGCACGTTGATCCAAGTCATTTTTAAACTTTGGTACTTTGATATGTGAAAGGTTTGTCGCTATCTCCAACCACACTTGACCACGCTGAGTTGAACTCTTCTTAAATTGAAAAGAATTTTTTACCAAAATTTCTGCACAATAAAATGTCATGGTAATCAGTCCAGACCATAGCACTAAATTAATGAAAAAAAAAAAGATTTTGTACACATTACTTCTTCTAACACAGTCTCCAAAGAACCCTTGGCTGCACTAATTTTGCTTGTAAGCAATTTTTTTGAAAAGCTCTATGCAATAATCTGTTGATGTTATAATCACTTTACATTGATCAGTGAAACACAATGTGGGACAAATCATTCATTTGCTATAAATAAGTGACCACTATAAATATGTGAAACTATAGCTTAGAAGTTTAAGGTAAACAACAAGATAATCAGAAAGGCTAAAACTCCTCTTTTAAATGGTACATATCTGACTATTCACTAAATAGCCTTATTTGTTTACATCTCAATCTGCATTGAATAAGCCTGCACTATTACAAAATCTGTGATTTTGACAAATGCAATCAATAGTAAATAAGGTAAACATTTCCTTGTGTATTTAAAAATCATTTGTTTTCCTTATCTTAAAAATTAAAGAAATTTTAATCACTTACTGAGTCTTCCTGCGTGAAGGTTTATCCTTCTCAACTGATTCCATAGCCATTTTAGAAACACCTATTTTAAAAATGAAAAGTCGGTCAATTTCCTTTGTATAAACGAGTATATATTTTATGCCATCATTAAATAAGCATTATTTTATCCATTCAAAAAGGTTATATTTGAATGTCTAACAGAATAAAGTAGAAAATATCATAAAAAAACTCACGTTTTCTAGAAGACGGCAAACCAGCTACCCAGACGTATTCTACGACACAGCACGGGAGGTAACGCATGCGTACAAAAGCAATTATTAAAAAAACACTTCCGGTTTCCCGCATTCTCTGTTCCCGTCGTCGATCTTAAGGTCTCTATTGTTAAATCGTACGGTACGTAAACGTGAATATATAAATAATATAATACATAAAACCCCACCCGGCCCCTAAATAACTGGTTCAGCTACAGTCCTAATATTAATTAAACGCAAAATTGCCGGGTTAATTTTTTTACTATTTGTCAAATTATAGGCGAGAACTGCAAGGCTTTAATTATTCAATGCGTTATTAGTGATACCTTTGATGTTTGTGATAATTCGGGATATGTTCTTGGTGTATAGCAGCAAATCTAATTAGTTTTCCAATGGTAACATCTCCCGGATTTGATAGGAATAAGAGCATTTTGTTATTTGTTATTTTCGATTTTGAATGAAAATATTAAGTCAAAACCGTACTCTCGACTTTTAATTTGTGTTGTAGAAATGTCTAAGGAGACGAGATTCTATATTTTGTAGTTGAGTTACTTTTACTAATGCCTCTTACTCTTTTCAAATTTGCAGTGAAAACTGTATTAGGACCATTCATCTCGTGTTTAGGCTTATAAATCGTGATATATTTCAGTGAGAGGGGTGAGAGGGTGCATAGGTTAGAAACTAATTAACTCGCATTGCGCAATGCGCAAGCGAGTTCTAAAAATGGGAAGCGTTCTTAATATTTTTATGGTCGAGAATTTCGCGACCAGCAAGGTGCGATAAGGTGCGCTGACCTGCAAGCCACGAGCAACGCAGGCGTGGTTGCTAAGTTAACGTGCATGTGCACGCACAAATTTATTTTGGGATCACTTTCGATGGGAGCTTTGTAACCGTGCCTGTTTGAGTTATTTTCTACATTGCATGAGCACTATAAATATACCTAAACTACGCTATGCTTCAGCGCTTCAGCAACGACTTGTTAGTCGAGAGGTCGTACTGCGTGCGAAATATCCCGGTTCAAATCTTGGTAAAGCACCATTAAGCACCACTACAATACCATTTGATTAGTTTCAGGGTTTATGTGTGGGGCAGGTTTTTATTTTTTATTTAAGTTTCAGAATTTAAGCACTATATATTTAAACTCCGAACGCAGAATTTAAGCTCCCAGCGAAAGTGATCCCAAAATAAAATTGTGCCTGGCCGCCATCTTGAATCAGGCCTGGTTTCATGGCAAATTCGAAAAAGTGAGCCCAAAATATTATTCTGCAACCCGAACGCCTTTGCCGTACAATGACGTATTTGGTGTCTACGGGGAATCAATTTCAGCAATCATTCGAAACGTTTTCGTCAAAAGTTTAAGAATCCGGGATTATAAAATTCTAAGGACATCCTCGTTGTCTAAATTAAAGCATTTTTATTCAAAATCAAGGTTTGTATTTGTATATTGTTGGCAATATTAATTGTGCTCAATATTTTCGTTTCGTTTCATTTGCCGTAGTTGTAGACTACGCACGCAGCTAACTTCGATTTTATCCGCAAGTATTTTATCAAATCAAGTAGAAATTGTATTATCTTAAAGCGAAAGCACTTATTTATTTGTATAAGTTTAGTTCATTTCAAAATCTTTCCTATATAAAGCCAAGATATCTTTTGCCGATCGTGTGCTTTTTAAATTGAATTTTAGAGAAGATTAAATACGCAAAGCCTTCCAGAAATCTTGCCTGAAAACCTACAAATATTTATAGCTTACTTTGTAATCAATATTTTCATCTATTTTGCTTGAAATACAGTCGTTTGGGCGATTTGTAGTGGTATTTTCAACAAACGAGTTTACAAATGGAAAATCCGAAAATTTGCATACAATTATCACCATATTGGCGGAAAGAATCGGAAAAATTTCGCTCCATAAAGGCCGAATATATGACTTATTCCTGATTAAAAATTGTCAGTTAAGATAACTAAAGCATTTAGAGTTATATATATAACGGTTAAAATACGACAGGATAAAAAATAACGAAGAAAATAACGAAATTCCAAAGGCGAGTTATATTTCAGGGTGTCATCACTTTGTAATTTGATATGAAATTGACAGCTGCTTGCGTTGTCAGGTTAACAGAAATATTTATTAATTTCCGCATTATAACAGAAGCGATTGGTTATGGTACTTTTTCCAGGCTATATTTTGGTGGTATTTTTGTGTTTTTTGCCCGCGCATTCGCAGAGTTATTGGAATTTAAAAAAAGTCGGACTCTAAGGTATGAGAATGGACACCGGATGGGAATGAGTCGGGATCATTCACATAACTCAGTTGCCAACACTCAATATTTACAACTGATCAACATTTATTAATCCATCGGTATTTATGAATTCATGGTACATGAATAAACAGTACGTTAACGTATACATAATAGGGACTAGGGACCATAAATTAAGTCTGTTGGCGTTGTTAACCGCTGTTAACCGCTAACAAACTCCTTTTGTTTAAATTTCGCACAATCGTAAACTTTCTACACCCACTTATGACTGATTTTACTATATCAAAACAGGCGCCCGGTAGGCGTTAATTAACTCGGGGTCAATAAATGGCTGAGCCATATTTGCTGCGAGCGAAGCGAGCAGCCCTATATTCTTGACCGGCATCTCGATTTCAGCGATTTTTGTTTGTCAGGATGATTTTTTGAGCACACGTACCATAGACACATAGAACGGCGGTTTCATCCTATGCAAATGCGTGATACTTCATATTCGCACTTACGTAACTTATGTGCGATCTCAACTCGGGGAGAATTCTCTTCTTCAGCATAACCGCGATAAAATATTGCATACGTTCATCATAATATAAACAAGTTTAAGTTTTTTGACACGCAATATTGCCATTACTATCCTGAAGACTACCCAAGAAATGGTTGGGGAAGGAAAAGGTACTACGTGTATTTACTCGCAGCAGTTTCACTTACAATTTGTAATTCTAGTATAATTCCTAGAGGACTCGGTATTGTTTTTGGCGTATATTTTCTCCGCACTACATCTAAAAAGTCTATTTTTCCCTGTTCAACAAGTTAAATGGAGCAGTGGTTTCTCGCTCTACTTATGATGCTGTGAATGGCGCAATTCACCTATCGGGTGAATAATTTCTACCTCTGGTAAACCGGTTTTCATATTCGCTTTTGGCCTTGCTATGGACAACTAACAAAGCGTCTGTGGCAGTAATTCCTTTGAAATTAATGTTAAAAACGGCAAATATGCTTCACACATTTTGATCAATGGTACATGACTTAGTTACGCTTTGAAAAACTATATTTTATAAAAAAGGATCAATAACAGATCCCTTGAGCATTGGCTATGTTTTGGCTATGTTTTTTTTATTAGAAAACGTGTAATGAATAGAACCCATATGGGATTTGAAAATGTTAGCACTGAGGCTTTTCGTATTTAATGCCGATTCATGAGTATTTTCAGTCAAACAATTAAGACGAATCAATATTCAATTCTCCCAGGGAATCTACAAGCCTCTCTATAGATCTTTTTTCGTCTATTTTAGATGAATTTAAAACATGATGACTGACTGAGTGTTGATACAAAATATTTCACTGTCAGCTTACAACAGTGGTTGTTAAAGTCTTGTATGTTATCTTGTTTGCCTTGTCAAATGCAAAGTCAATAATAACCATGGCTTAATACACTTTTTGGCATCTTGCACCTTGCTAATCAAGCTACAAGCTTGATTAATTGATTTAAACTTGTTAATTTGCAAAAATTTTTGCTCCCCTCTGGCTCTGTCCTCTGGGTGTGATCTCTCTTTTTTAGGTTTAAGATGCTATGGAATTTGGGGATGGCTTTTTTGCAAATTAGTGGAATATTAAACTGTTAATTTTACCATGTTGACTTTGTTAGCATAGTTACAATAGTTATTTAAATGAAAAAAAAAATTCTACAGTCAGCGAAAATAAATAAATCTAATCGTATAAAAATCCTTCGTCCACAATTTTTTTACGTTTTAATATTTATTTTTCTGGCATTGGCAAAACAGCGTCCACGATTGTATATACCTGAGAGAAACGCCTTATTGCAACGCTTTGTAGCACAAAAATAAATCGAAAAATACAAAACAACAAGGTTTCACAGCAAAAACAAAAATATTCATACAAAACCGTGGGAAATATTTTTGTTAGATAAACCAGGGGGGAGCTCTTGTAGCAGGCTCATATTTGAGCCTGGTCAGTGGTAATTACCATAAGCAAAGGGACAGAAGGCGAAGTTCGCCATTGCGATCATTTACTGAAATTCGAGGAGCAAGTCCTCTGGGAATTATTATAGAACTCAGTGCAATAAATACACTGCATTAGTTATTTTGATACACTGTAAATTCGCGATTGTCCGCACGGAAGACTAGAAACCTAGAATCGGATACCACAAATAACCCGAGTAATTAAAAGACATTGCGGATGTATTTAGCGAAACCTTAACTCTAACTCACTGCGTTCAAACGAAAGTAAATCATTTTGCCACTTAATGACAATTAAGAAAATAGCACAAAAACGACATGGGAGTATCGGAAGCAACCAACATTTTATTGCGTTGATTAACAATGATAGTTTTGTATACGTAACATTTCGGTTATAACAGGCATTATAATCCTAAATTCCTCCACACACTTATGGCCCTGTTACACGGTGCAATTTTTCTTGCAACTTGCAATGCAATTCTACCTTTGAGAGATGTAAGTTTGACAACTACGGCAACTGCATGTACGTTTCTTATACACTCACATTTTGAATACTCAGCATTAATTTACATCTCTTAGGATTGCATTGCAAGTTGCAGGAAAAATTGCACCGTGTAACATGGCCTTTAGTAACAAGTTTAACAACAAGTCCTTTGCTATATAATTATATATATCCGTTTCCCAACGCAATTTCCATGGATATGGCCCGTGGAGCTTTATCAGTCTCTCTGCAGATATGACTGTTTTGGATTCGTTGTTGACCCGGCACTGGCACTGACGTTATTCCACCTGAACGTAAGCTGTGTAGTCCGTAGATTGATGGATCATAATTACCTAATTGTTTCTTTAAATATTTCTCGGCACCTGGTGTATAAAACCTTTCATTTTGTAAAGTAAGATACTGGCATTGTGTTCTCGCGCATGCAGTTGTCTGAACAACGGTGAACAACGGTGAACAACGGATACCTTTCTAAAATGGAGACTGGACAGTGTTTAGTACGGGCAGTAGCGTAGCCAGCATGACGATTTGTCCCGCTATGTTAATTTTTTGGTGTTCATTGACTGTGAAAACAATAAATTTCTAAATACATGAATAATTATAATAACATGATATTTACATAGCGGGACAAAATCGTCAGGCTGGCTAAATTATAAAAGGTAAATACACTGCATAGTTTAACAGAGCCAAATTGCCATGCACTTCGTACAAAATATAGTGATAACCCATAACATTGAATGAAGTTAACGTCACCTGTTAACATGTAACTAATAAAATTTATTGCTTCAGGAAACCATCAAAACAGTACAAAATCTTCAATTACTGAACGTCAATATTTATGCTCAGGACTCCAAAAGCTTTGATTTCTGTTGTGGCTTTCAAAAATGGTTTTTCGTGATCACTTTCTTTGAATCCGTTATTATAATATTTTCACATTGCCCATAGCCGCAATTCCTCATACCATTTTTCATTATTGTTAGAAACAACAAGCTGGCTAAATATTTGTCTATGTATTCTAGTTTTGAGTAGAACCAAACAATAATGAAATACGCAGTTCTCCATGCAGATTCACCCGTCGTTTTTAAGCTAGCGGAATGTGTTTTTTTCACATGCTATAGAGCTAGGGTTTCGTAACAGACAGCTTCTTGTTTCATTTCTAAATATTGCTATGAATTCGTAGGAAGAAGAATGTCGGGAATACCGTGGGAAAGCGAAGCAAGCCAAAACTTCATTATAGCAGAATATATTGTCACAAATGCCGTTAGACAAGAATTGAGGAATTTCTTTATCAAGAAATGGAACAAACGTTACCAGGCTTCTCTTGGGGCATGGGATGACACCAACGTGAGCGGCAGTCAGTTGTTTAATCTGGAGAAAACACGAGCAAGGCCAAATAAGACGACGCTCCAGTCCAAATTTCAAAATGGAAATTCAATTGAGTGGGATTGCACTGTACTTTTTGATGCAATTCTTTATTCCAACTCCATTGGTACTGATCTTACAACAACGGAAAAGACAGAAATCGATAATCTAAGAGAGCTACGAAATAAATTAGCTGATGACTTCCCTGAAAAGAAGATGAAAGAAACTGACTTTCAAGCCATGACAACAGAAGCTGAAAATGCTTTGACTGCATTAGGATTGTCAACCAATGAAGTCATTCGAATAAAGAACCATTTTGCGTCCTTTGAGGTTCTGCCTCCAAAGACAACTCATGACGTAGTTTCTCGTTCTGACCTGATATACGAAATGAAACATGATCTTGAACGATTGCGCAGCGATAATGATGGTAAACTTACATATTTCTACATCTCTGGGAATCCAGGAAGTGGAAAATCTCAACTCTCCAGACAAGTTTGTGAAGATATATTCGAAGATGTTAATGCAATGTTTGTGATGACAATCAACGGAAAAGATTTAGATTCACTATTTTCTTCCTATGAAGAATTTGGTAGGAAGTTAAATTGTATCGAGAGTGCTATACAAAGTGTTTCAAGTTCGTCTAAAACAATAGAAGAAAAAATCAAAGATTTAAGATCACAAATATGTTGCAAAATTAAGAATTGGAAGAAGTGGTGGATCATCGTAGACAATGTGGAAAACGTAGATCTTATATCTCCACTACTTCCTCAGAGAGGAGACAAAGGTTGGAATAACGGCCAAATTATTTTAACAACACAAAAAACAGACGCTGTACCTGAAGACAGTTTGTCAACTAAGCATGTTTCACTTAATCTCGGTATGAATGAGCAAGAATGTCGCGAGCTGCTTTTCCTGATATCTGGTATTGAAGTAAATGATCCATTACTAGATGAGGTGGCAGAGAGGTTAGATCGTCAACCTCTGACCATGGCTGCGGCAGCTGTGTATATGAGACAAGTCATCAAGAGTAACCCAAATTTTTCGTGGCGAGAATATTTGGAAAAGCTTGAGAAAGGTAAAAGAGGATTAACGGAAGAACGTCTTCGGCAGATGAACTCATCAGCATATTCCTCGACCATGTCCACAGCAGTGCTTTTAGCTGTTGCAAAATGTGCAGAAAATAACACATTTCTTAAACACGCATTCAACCTTTTTTCTTTGATATCGTTTGAAGCATTCCCACTTGATCTTGTTGTAAAATATATTCAGCAGCAAGAAAATGAGCTTGATGCTGAGGATATAATTTCTTCACTAAAACTCTGCTCATTGTTTGTACATGTTGTTAATGGCGATTATATCCGCCTACATCGTGTTGTTCATGAAGCGGTCAAAACATTTTTTTATTTGACGAAAACTAAGAATGATAATAATTCAAAAAATTTAATTTACACCGCTAAAACATTGAATTACTATAGCGACAGAGAAGATAAAATCAAAATGATTCCGCATTTGAAAGCATTTCACGAAAGTATTAATCATAGCACGCTTTTTCCCGATGAAGCGCTATATGAAATAAGCTTGAAATTTGAAAAAGGAAAAATTTGTCAAGTATATGAGTTTTTTGGGAATATCCTTTTTCACTTCTCTGAGTTCGAGCTGTCAATGCAATTTCATCACCTGACGCTGAAAATTCGTTTGGAACAATTAGGGCCGAATCATACTGATGTTGCAACTTCATACAGCAAATTGGGTGCTGTGTGTTATAAGAAAGGTGATCTGGAACATGCTGATGATTATTATCAACGGGCACTGAAAATTCCTTTAGAACGATCAGACCCGAACTATACCGACGTTGCTACTTCATACAGCAAATTGGGTGCTGTGTGTTATAAGAAAGGTGATCTGGAACACGCTAATGATTATTATCAACGAGCGGTGAAAATTAGCTTAGAACGATTAGGACCGAATCATGCTGACGTTGGCGAATCATTCAGCAGATTGGGTGATATTTGCCGTAAGAAAGGTGATCTGGAACATGCTAATGATTATTATCAGCTGGCGCTAAAAATTCGTTTAGAACGATTAGGGCCGAACCATACTGACGTTGCAACTTCATGCATCAACATTGGTGATCTTTGCCGTAAGAAAGGTGATCTGGAACACGCGAATGATTATTATCAACGGGCGCTGGTAATTCGTTTAGAACGATTAGGACCGCATCATGCTGACGTTGCCGATTTATTCAGGAGATTAGGTGATGTTTGCCGTAAGAAAGGTGATCTGGAACATGCTAATGTTTATTATCAACGGGCACTGAATATTCGTTTAGATGGATCAGGACCGAACCATACTGACGTTGCCGATTTATACAGCAAATTGGGTGCTGTGTGTTATAAGAAAGGTGATCTGGAACATGCTGATGAATATTATCAATGGGCACTGAAAATTCGTTTAGAAGCATTGGGGCCGAACCACACTGATGTTGCTACTTTACACAGCAAATTGGGTGCTGTGTGTTATAAGAAAGGTGATCTGGAACATGCTAATGATTATTATCAACGGGCACTGAAAATTCGTTTACAAGGATTAGGGCCGAACCATAGTGATGTTGCTACTTCATACAGCAAATTGGGTGCTGTGTGTTATAAGAAAGGTGATCTGGAACATGCTAATGAATATTATAAACGGGCACTGAAAATTCGTTTAGAGGGATTAGGGCCGAACCATACTGATGTTGCTACTTCATACAGCAAATTGGGTGCTTTGTGTTATAAGAAAGGTGATCTTGAACACGCTAATGATTATTATCAACTGGCGCTGAAAATTCGCTTAGAACGATTAGGACCGAATCATGCTTACGTTGGCGAGTCATTCAGCAGATTGGGTGATATTTGCCGTAAGAAAGGTGATCTGGAACATGCTAATGATTATTATCAACGGGCGCTGGTAATTCGTTTAAAACGATTAGGACTGAATCATGCTGATGTTGCCGATTCATACTGCAGATTGGGTGATGTTTGCCGTAAGAATGGTGATCTGGAACAGGCTATTGAATATTATCAACAGGCGTCGGGAATTCAATTAGAACTATTGGGGCAGAATCATACTGATGTTGCTATTTCATGCAACAACCTGAGTTTGCTGTAAAAGGGTAATCTGAAACATGCTGATCATTACTATCAACTAACGTTGGAAAGTCATTTAGAACGATTAAGGCGGAACCACACTGACGTTGCTACTTTTTAGAAAACCTTTGTGATGTCTATTGCAAAAAAATGATCTGCAAAATGCTTATAATTGTCATCAAGGCGCGCTTTTTCGAATTAGTTTTATCCAGGCTTTTCAGCTGTTTTGGAAACAAACAGCTAATTAACACCTTATTCATTTATTTTCTATTTTACGTATAAGTTTGCCTAAGTAGATCGTTTTTCTTATGAATTGTCTTGAATTAACGCATGAACTTAGTTAATCTCTATTGTATTTCAATTTAGGTGGCGATGATCGACGTATATAACTTAGACAACTTTCCATGTAAGTTTCAATTTCGACAATTCCTATCAAACATTTATATCGTTTTGCTGCGAGTAATAAAGTTGCTTGTAAAATATAACCCTGCATATAGTTTCTTTGAACTTTACAACGCGTCTTGACCTAAGCAAAATCATCATGGTTTCGAAATACGATTTATAAAGCAAGCGACGTTTTTAATAACAAGTATACGTTGACTGAAAGTAAATTTTTCTTTTTCACCAATCACAATCCTTGACCCAGTCTTTTGACGTAACCCATGTCGTTTGTGTTGCCAAAAACGTCACTTGCTTAAGCTCACTAATAATGACCAACCTTGGGACATATTGATAATTTATATTCGTTATTTTCTTTATTCATTAAATTGGTTTTGAAATTTACCCAATATTGTGGTATGCAAACAAAATATGAGTTAGCATTGACTTTATTTGCCTCTTCAAGTTTCTTCTTTCTCTTAAACATTTATTATTATTTTATTATGAGCATCGTCGATCAGTATGATAGCTTTAAACACTCCAAACAACATCCAACACATTAATTGTTGCCGCGTGGTCATGCACCGTGAAATTGGTGGAAATCACGATGCCATTTCTGCAACTACGTCAATGTGCAACTTTAAACGCTACGTAATTCAAAATTTCATTTGTCTTAAATGAGCAATGCCATTGTGGATAAGCACGTCGCGGTTGCGGATGCCGTTGTATTTCTCAAACACTTTGAAATTGGACACTGTTTGAAATTGGATGAACGCATGCATGTAATTTTGCTTTTATTGCCCATGCAATGCATGCATGATCACGCTTATTTATGGCATTGTCATTGAGGTTCTTATACAAATCGTCCAAGTTATGCAGTTCGTACTTCGTTGCCCACAGCCGGTGAAGCAGTGAGAGCGGTCTTAAAAATTGAAATTTTAGCCAAACAAATAGAATCGAATGTGAGAGTGGGCGTATCCCTAGCATTTGTAACAGTATTAGCGCACTGTGCGTAATATGCATAATTATATAGCTGTATGTAACACTGTTCATTCTATTCCAGAATCATCGTGCATGTTTTCCATCAACCCCAGTGCACGAATTGCCTTATACTGATCAGGTATCTCCATCAGAGCATGAGCGGCAAATATCAGGTCAGATCTCCACATTTTCTTTGTTACAGAATGATAATCAACGAATTGAAAGTTATCAAAATGTCTTCCTGGTAGCTTATCGTCATATTTATTCATAACACACCAAGGACCATCTCCAACACCAACTAAGATTATTGAGAGCGGATAATTACTGGCTTCGATGATAACACGACGTGTTGCCTACACAGGGATCATATTAATATTTTTTAATTGAATCAACCAAGCAGACTTTTTCCAATACCTCAAAGTTACTCATTTTAAAGTGACAATGGGATTGTTTCCATTTGCTATCTATCTTCAAAGGATGTTTGGTGCTTGCCTTTTAGTAAACGAATAGCAAAAGAGATACACCGTACCTGGATGCTTACTTTTAGGAATCGCTGAAAAAGCATTTAAATTATCTTGCTTTAAAACAATGGCGAATATTTTTTATCTTACCGAAATTCCCTTCATAATTGATGTCAAATTTTGCAAATTTAGATTGTCCTTAATGACAATTAATTGAAATTGTGTTTGCCAGCAATGTGATGCTATCAAACACACAGATTCTTACTTTGTCATGTTCTTCAGAGACTTGTCCATCAGCAATGATTACGAGAATATGATATTCCCGCGTCTTCTTGACCAGCTCGATCGCTTTTTTAATAATTGGTACGAAGTTTGTCGGACCACTCATTGTAATGCGTCTCACGACTTCTTTGTAATATCTCAAAACTTCTCTGAATCCTTTGCACGGTTTGTTCATTTCACCTGAAAAATGACGTGTCATATTTTTAAGCCTTATCGTCTAACGGTACCGTCGCAAGCTCTAAGCGACGTAGCCAGCACGATTATTGGCAGGGCGGGGGAGAGGGGGTTGAGATGGAATCCATATTAATATATTCATGTTGACAGACTGTAAAGATAATCGTTTGAAAATAAATTAATCCTGCGTTACATGAATATATATGACTATGCATGAGCCCTCCCCCCCTCCCCTAATCATCGTGCTGGCTACGTCGTTGCAAGCTCGTTAAGTAGGGATTATTTGGAACTACTAAGAGAATTGAAATTAATGAGTTCACGGCAACCAGGTATATAATCCATCTAAATTATCGCTACTCTGGTTTTAATAAATGAAAGTAACCACCACACAAAGATTAACTTTCACGACCCAACGTTTCGACACTCCGGTCTAGTGTCTTCATCAGGGGTGATCTGATGTTGAAACTCAGCTGCTTATATACTCTCAAAATGACGTCATCTATTAATCAGATGCAAATATTCTTTTGGCAAAAAGCTTCCGTCATCCAAAACAACGCCTTTGTCCATAACGATCATTAGTGGTAAGGAACGATTTAAAAGTCATTACCACTAATGACCGTTATCGACAAAGGCGTTGTTTGGAAGCCTGGCATATTAATGCGAGTCTTTGTGCCCTAAATATGGATGACGGCAGCCATTTGCCAAAAGAATATTTACATCTGATTGATAGATGACGTCATTTTGAGAGTATATAAGGAACCGAGTTTCAACATCAGATCACCCCTGATGAAGACACTAGACCGGAGTGTCGAAACATTGGGTCGTGAAAGTTAATATTTGTGTGGTGATTACTTTCATTTATTAAAACCAGAGTAGTGATAATTACGATGGACTACTAAGAGAAGTTAGTAGACAGATTCTGATTTCTCTCATCAGTTTGTAGTAGTAAAGAAGTTAGTCTTTCCCTGACACCTCCAACCATTGATCCGTAATTTTCCCTCTTTTAAAGCTGACGTCCGATCGTAATGTGAACAAACGCTTTTTTACATTTTGAAACTATAATTTTTAACTGTCATAGAGGACGAACTGTCTGTTTTTTTGAAACCTTAATTGCTTCCCTATGTTTATAAATGAATACGAGTTGAGCCACAAAAATCCAGACCATGCGAAATTTATGCAAGTTTCAAATTCGAGTGCTCCACATTGTTATGAGCAGAAACAATGCGCAAACCCGACTGGTCATTATCTTTAAGTTAATTGATGACACGAGTTATAATGAAAAAATAATTTATGACTAGAAATATGATAGAAAAGAAACCTGACAAAGAGAAGACATCTTTATCTTTTGTGATCGAGTCCCCAAAGCCATACGCCGGAATAAGATTATCGTCGTCCAGAGGCTCTAACGTCTGTCCTAACACGGATATCACTTTTTGATAGGGATTATCGCGAAACAATCCCAAATGATGCAGTGCACCACGGCGACCATGCCGTTCATCTATTTTCTCGGAAATTGCATGAAGTGACTTCTGAGAAAATGTTTTTCGTCCCTGCCATTCATTACTTGCAGTGAAGTCGATTCCAAGAATGAGTTGACATTTTTCCATGCCAGCTTTTCTAATTGCACAAGTGATTTCCTTTAAGGTGAGGAATTCGTTAACAATAGCGTCAAATGTGAGTGCGCCTGTAGGCAGCCGAGATGCATCCACTATTTTAGGTTCGGGCTTTGATAGTGGATATCTTTTGAACATCTTGTAAATCAGCATTATGATTAATATAGTAATCAAAAATAGTAAGTAGTTTTTTATAGCTTCAATGTCCACATCCATTTTATATAGAAAATTTGCTCCAATCGTGATTCACCTATAATGTAAATGTAAAATGAAAGAGTTGGCATTGCATGAAAACTTTCGCCTTTAACCTTCAAGCACACATGACAAGACGGTAGTTCATTATTGAATTAAAAGGGCAGTTTATATGAGAGCCGAGACGGGACGATGCTCGGGATCCCAGCGTAAAGGAATTTTTATAGTGTTTATCACATTCTGTCACCGGTGGGACTTTTTATCTCGTCCCGCCTAGGCAATATCCTTGTTTCGACGAGTGTGATCCTGCTCTAAACGGGATGTGGGTTTTTTTGCCATATAATTGCTCCATCCCGCCTGACCAGGGCGATATTATGCTGACTTGAAATTTTCTGATCCGAATAACTCCCTTGTTTGGAATTAATACAAAGCAACAAACATGACATTCGGGTGAGAGACATAAAATATATATATAAATGAGTGCTCATAAATGACTGAATTGTATTCAGAAGTTTAAAAGCAGCTGCAGCTAAAGACGCAATATTCGGCATTACAGGCGTTTTGTACTTATTTCCTTCATATTTAAATTTCCCCGCGTTACCAAAGCAACGTCCTGGGTTTAAATTACCCGGTACAAAAACTATGAAAAACGTGCTTTCCCGGCTCTCATATAAACAGCTCTAACGTTTTTATAGCGGAAAAAACCGCTACTGAGCAATAGGGCAAGTAAAATTGCAAGTAAATGGGAGCAAGTAAAAATCAATTATCGTCATGTATTGCGCGGTAAAAACTAAAAAGTAAAAAGGGGAAGGTTTTAGCAATATTTGTTTAATCCTCCATGTTAAACACTAATTCTATTCGAATTGCGGATATACAGTTAATAATAGACAACCAGGCGCCGGCATCAAAAGGCTGGCCGGTTTGGAGAGTTAACTGCATAGCCAGACTTGATTCTGTTCACAAAAATGTAGTCAACCCATTGCTTACGATTATCATTACAGTACTGTCCAGAAATAACCTGCAACCCCCAACAGTGTTATTAGGTTATTTCTGGAACAGTATTGTATATTAGCCTAGCATGCAATTAGTAGCGTAGCTAATCAGAACGCGCGGTCGATGTCACTCTTTTATAGTACGTTTATATAAACTATACTAAACGTCTGTATACAAGTCAATGCCATTTCGAGAAAGGGAATTTGTGTGCAATTTAAAATCAGTTTTAGGCCAACAGATTTCAGATCAAACGAGCTTTTCGCTTCTCTGTATACTTTAAAGCCTTTTTGAATTCGCTTTCAACCGGAGTGTCTATGATAATCAAATTTGCATTCTCTGCAATGGACTATATAGCTGCATGGCACTGCCGAGTATTATAATCAGCTTATATCAATTGCAAACTGAGGAAAATTTGGCTCGCATTGCTTGTTGGAATGTTTTCCTGGTTAAATAGGCGAAGATAAACATTTTTGAAAGCCCTCCATGCAGAAATCTATTCATTACTTCGATAATTACAGCAGTACAATATTTAATTCGGCCGGCTGCTCACAAAATAGAACATGAAAATTGCGTTTACTGGCGAAAGCAATAAACTGGTTGAAAAATATCAAACACGTGCAGGATAACGACACATGCATGCTATTATGGTGTTCATGGATGGAATAAAAAACATCAGACTTACCTGAAAATTGAACATAAATGCGGTCTTCATATCTTCTCTTCCGAAGATATTTTCCTCAGATAACAAGCGTATTATATTACATATGCAAGGCTGTAATTGCTGTACCTTTATGAAAAACTCAAATACCGCTGCTAACGGAAATACTATCGTTTTCGCTTAGTATGAGATACATCAAACCTTTATTAAAAAAGGTTATTAATCTAAATGAGAAAAAAGCTTGATGACGATGTTCGTATAACAGATGAACTACTATCTTGATATTAATGCCGTGAGTTTACATCAATATATAATTTATTCAAATTTGGCAAACACTTCAACAGGTACTATACGATGCGTTTGTTGATGTCTTAATTGTTATCCCATATACTTATCAAAACCTTCGTACGGATGTGAGATCGGTTTTACTGGAATAGACAGTGTCTGTAACATAAGTTCTTCGACATATGGCAACTTTTAATCAAGAATATGCTGGCCTTAATAGGTCCTGAACTCCTGAAGCTGACCTTTCTTATTAATGAAAAATCTACGTTATAGCTATAGATAATATCACCAGAAGTTGTTAACAAATCCACCTGCTCCGTGCTCAAATAAGAAAACAAGGAGTTCAAGATGTGGAAAACGGATGTACTACTACTCAATTTAAATTATTTTCACCTACTGTTTGCAAAGTAGAACTGAATGCTTGTCAGTTTCAATTTATCGCATATGATTTTATAGGAAAAATCCTTGCTTCTCGTTTGTTTGAACTTTAGAGTCTCTTCCCGTGTTTACAATTGCAAAACTATTGTTCAAACGTGACGTCTGGTAGTCTTTTTCATTTTAAGTTTTGCAATCTTTAATCAGCTCTTGCAACAGATAAGTATACGGTTATTATGTGTCTCAGTCAAGATCCCTCTTATATACTAACACCTCCGAGGGCCGGGTACTAAGATGATTTGGAATTACTCATGGATATTGTGAGAGAACATAGCGGAATCCAAAGTTGTCCAAATTCTAGACGGTCTACGTTTGACCGTTTTTTCAGTCACGCATGCACACGCGCAATTGTAAGGGCTCGTCTGTTTAGCTAAGACAGATAGTTTGTGTTTCACTAATTATGGACAAAATAAAATGAGAAGAAAGAAGATAAAGGATTAAATATAACTATGAAAGACATGGATAAGACAAAGCGGCGTAAGAGGAATAATTGATAATCTACAAGCTTATAGGTGTTTTAAAAGGGTAGCTATACGTGTTTACTTTTTCCGCAACTGTTGCTTCGCGGTAAGGATACAATTTATTTGTATAATTTTGAGCTTTGCATATGTCGTTTTTTAAAGGCATGACCAACTGTGAAAGGCTATTATACACCTTCGCTTTAACCTCGATAATTTGAATTTTGATTGGAAAAAATGAAATCAATACATGCATATACACTATAAAACTTTTAGGTATAGCTATAGAGGCTGCAATCATGCATGCATTGAATAAAATAAAATCAGTTTGAGATTTTTGTTAGCCTCTGAAGAATTTGTATTGCTTTAATGGTTTGAAGTTTTAATTTTAAATATTTTCTTAATTTCTCCATGCAAAAGTCCATAAAGTGCGTACGTAATGGCATAATAAAGCAAATATTGAACAGCCAATGGTAATGTTTACACTTTATGACTATTTTTCTTTCGAAACATTAGCTTTAATACATATACTCGATAAAATATCTTTATATATTAGACTGATTTGTGTTTTAGTCATTTCATAATAAAAGTTTAGGTCAGGTTAGCTAAGGAAATTTTGCGCATGTATTTGTTTGAAATAGCGGGGGATTGCTGCCTGGGGCCCGTTGTTCAAAGCTGGGTTAGCTAACCCTTTGTTAAATTTTATTCCGCTGTTTTGGTTTATATGCTTCTGCATCGCCGTTTGTTTCAAGACTTTACAAAATAAGACTTTGATTGATCCACAAATTATTTATCAAAAAACATGTTCAACTTCATGAACGAGCGATTAAAAAATTGATGTAAAAATTTGAGTTTCCTCTGAATTAAGCTAATTACCGGCTTTTGAACAACGGGCCCCTGCATGCATATATTTCTAGTCCAGTATACGGACAAATTGTTATTTCAGTCACTCTTTGCAAATTTCCGGTTTGATCATGCGTTGCTTGGGACCTTGTTGACAATTAATTTTGTTTTGGCGCCATTTCTCCTCCGCATTTCAAAAATATATTGCGGAACAAACACAGGCTGCTTCGTTCAACAAAAGTCAATGGACTTACATACATAAATGAATGAATGAAAAAATGGCCTCTGTAGTCCAAGTTATATACTTAGTTATAAACATCGAATTTTCGTTTTTAGTACGATGAAAATTTGCTTTTATAGACAGACATGCAATGTTCATCATCTCCCCGACTGAAAGAGTTAGCATGCATATAGTATAATTGCCATTAATTGGAGTAAATGGGAACGACATCTTTTTACAAGGTATACTCGTTTTTACTCTTTTTCTCTTGTATTTTTACACAACTGTGCTGTCAAATAACTACATCAAAAATGACATCAGTGAATAGCGTGTATTTAATCTGTACAAATATTTTGCCGACTAGTGTTAAAATGTTACCGGACAAGTATTGCACCGGCACTACTACGCGTTTGCATCAGGGCAGTGCCATGTAAACGCAAAGCACTATATTTATACGCACGAAATTTCTTCTATGCATGAAGCCGGGCAATGACACACAAAAATTGCCCGACTCTCAGCTGGGCAAAAATTAACCGATGCCTCAAATAATTATTGCTCCGCTCTCCCACCTTTTATACCCATCCATAATTATGCCTTTTTATACCCATCCATAATTACACCTGGCCTCCTCACCTTTCGTCTCTTCCAATAAGCGATGACTCCTAATTATTAAAACTTTAATACCCTCTAATTCTATGCATTTCAGGAGGATGCTGAAATGTCGATTTACTACGTACAAATATTATTATTGATTGCAAACTCGTAAAGCAAATTTCGAAGATGCAATGCAAGATGAAGGACTGGCACTTTTGGTTGCGAAATATTGAAAAACGTGAAAAAATATATTTCCCCACTTAAAGCGGATCAGGAATCTTGAAGTTATTAGTAGTATGCACCAAAAAGCCAACTAGTTACCCCTTTTTTAAAAGTGGCGAGGCTACTTTGCACGCTAAACGTTTTCGCGTGTATTAATTATACATGCATATAATTTGCCAACGTTATATATTTATACATAATTTCTTTTTCAAAAACTTTGCGGTGTACTAATTTTGGAACGCTCTTTTTCTTAGTTCCAAATTTTGCCTCAATATTATAAGCGCCCTCCGTGTTCCAAACAATTTTGTCATTCTAACTGCTGGCTTCCATGTCCTCTAGACATTCGTTGATTGAGTCCAGCACTGGCAGTTCCAAAGTGTGGACCGCTTGGATCTAGAAAGCGCATGACATTGCTGTTGAAATGTATATTGTACTTCATAAAGTGTCGCCTCATATAACAATGCTATATATATCTTTATTACTTCACTCAAAATACAGCGAATTTAAAGTAACTATAACAAAATAATATAAAGACTGGGTTCCACTGTCTAACCCCTGATAAACACCACGTCCGCCCCGCATACTTCGTCTTTTTGCTTCGCTCACGAGGAAAGAAGTTATGGCTGACTCAGTTGCCGAAGAAAAAGGTCCTAACTCAGGAGAAATCTCAGGTAAATCGATCTCTTCAGTGCTGCAAAGCACTGAGTTTATCACCGCTCTTACGGACTCTACTTCCTAAATTAGTAGAGAGTGTTAAAAGCTCGTTTAACGAGTCAAGTGATCCCGACAATGCTGACGAACAGTTGACCGGTATGTCCTCCGGTTCACCAAAAGGAATTGCTTCACCCAGCTTGAACTCTGGGTTACCAAAACGTTCTTCTACTCCCAGCTGCGCCTCTGGGTTACCAACCGGCAAAACAGGTGAACCACTAAGAAAAGTAATACGGGTGGACCTAGATGAGAACGTAAATGCTGAAACAACTGAACAAGAAAACTCGCTCGTAGATGAGAACGATGATATTTTCGCGCCAGAACCCGAAGATGACACGCTGGCGTCGGTGTCCGAGCGATGGCCAGCGTCTGATGAACTGTCAGCTTTACTTAATACTTGTTTCGGCAAACAGTTATCTGGCTATGATAAACGTCAAGTGGTTCGCTCATGTCCTCGCCCAAATGTGGACAGCGTGAACACACCATTACTAGATAAATTTCTTCCTGACCTTTTACCTAAGTGCAAAGTGGAAGATAAATCGCTACGGAAGACCCAGGACCTTGTTCTAGACGTTGTTGGTCAAGTAGCAATGGCCTATGAAACTTTAATTCAGGCCAGAGATGGAAACTCTGAAGTGAGTGTTGGTATAGTATTGAAATACTTGGCAAAATCTCTCCAGCTCCTTGGCAATGCTAGTAACCATCTTTCTAGCAAACGTCGGACCCAAGTACTTAGTAAAGTGGGCCAGAAATACACCTCATTGTCTCAGGAGTCATGGGATAATACTGGCAAAGACCTGTTTGGTGAAAAATTTGAACTTCGTCTGAAGCAACGAACAGAAACAGCAAAAGCAATTTCATCTGCAACCTTTGCACCTCGAGGCAAAGGGTTTTTTCTACGGGGCACCCCCTCAACACGGTCCTGGCAGCGAGGGGGGGGGGGTGCAAGCAACTTCCGCAGGAACTTTCAGTTCAGAAGCCAGTCCTTCAGGAGGCCTTATCGTGCAAGGGGGAGATCAAGTGCGACTTTCAGCCAACCACCTTAGCAAAACGAACAATCTTCCATTAGCAACAGGTATGTTTTCAAATATCGACAACAATACCCAATTCCCTCTAGGGGGAAGGCTTCTTCACTTTTACCAAAACTGGGAAAAATTAACAACCGACCCATGGGTTTTAGAAACAATACAAGGTTACAAAATCGAGTTTGTCACAACACCCAAACAAACTTCTATTTCAAAAATGCAAATCACTCCAGCACAAAGCTCAGTGATAAGCGAGGAAGTGCAAGCTTTGTTCGAAAAACATGCAATTTACAAGGTCCAAAACTCCAATATTCAAACCGAAACTCAGTTCATAAGCCCCTTATTCACTGTCCCCAAAAAGGGAGGGGGGCACAGACCAGTCATAAACCTCAAGGACCTGAATTACTTTGTAGAGTATCAACACTTCAAAATGGAAGAAGTGACAATGCTAAAAGACATATTAAAACCCAACGATTTTATGACAAAAATAGACCTAAAAGATGCCTATCTCACAGTTCCAATTTGGCACAAACACAAAAAATTCCTTCGTTTTCTGTGGAAAGACACTCTTTGGGAGTTTGCATGTCTTCCCTTCGGATTGGCAAGTGCCCCTCGGACATTTACAAAAATTCTCAAACCAGTGGTAGCCCAGTTAAGGAGGATGGGAGTAAGACTGATAATTTACCTAGACGATATCCTGATAATGGCAGAACCCAAAAACCTTTTCCGGGAACATACTCAGTTGTCAGTCAGCTTACTGACAAGTCTAGGGTTCATAGTAAATTATGCCAAGTCAGTGACAGAACCCAGTCAGGAACTAGAATTTCTGGGATTTCAGGTAAACTCCAAGTCAATGTCCATAGCCCTCCCCAAGGACAAGATTAAGGGAATAATGAAAGACTGCCACAGAATACTAAACAATCCATATGTGTCAGTCAGAACCCTATCACGCCTCATAGGAAAACTGTCGGCCTCTATTCAAGCGATATTTCCTGCCCCTCTCCACTACCAGTCTCTCCTTCGAGCAAAAAACATAGCTCTGAGACAGTCTCAAAGCTACGAAGTCATGGTGTCTTTAAACCAGGCAGCTCAAGAAGAGCTACACTGGTGGAAAGACCATCTAGCAGCCTGGAATGGGAAATCCCTATTGAAAAGAAAAGAAGATCTCACCATAGAGACAGATGCCTCAAACCTGGGTTGGGGGGCAGCTTGCAGCGGAATGTTGACCGGGGGAGTTTGGTCACAACAAGAACGTTTCCAACACATCAATTGCCTCGAACTCATAGCAGGGGGGTTTGCAGTGAGGTCATTTTGCAAAAACAAAGCCTCGATACAGGTAAAATTACTGATGGACAACACAACTGCCATCACTTACATCAACAAAATGGGCGGGCCCTCCCCAGTTTTAGCAAGTCTAGTTTACGAGATATGGCAGTGGTGTCTTCAGAAAATTATACATCTCAGTGCGCATCACATTCCAGGGGTTCTCAACACTTCACCAGACCAAGAATCCAGGGTCGACAGAGATGCAGCAGATTGGAAACTGAATCCAATCAACTTTGCCACCCTGAACAGACTATGGGGGCCCTTAGACATAGATCTTTTTGCCACCAGGTTAACAAACCAATTACCAAGGTTTGTCAGTTGGCGGCCAGATCCAGAAGCCGAGGCGACAGACGCATTTTCAATAGACTGGTCAATAGTAAAAGGGTATGCGTTCCCCCCTTTCAATCTAGTGGGACGGTGTCTGTCGCAAGTCAATTCACAAAAAGTTCCCCGGTTGTGCCTAGTAACACCAGTGTGGGAAACCCAACCATGGTACCCAGTACTTCTCGAGATGAGTGTGGATTTCCCATGCTTGTTTCCCAAGGGAGCATGGGTTCTGAACAAAGGGGAAATGCCTCACCCCATTGCCCATCTCCAACTAGCCGGGTGGCTTATGTCAGCAAACAGTACTTGTCAATGGGAGTTTCAAAACAAGCTCAAGACCTGCTTGTCTCCGCTTGGCGCAACCAGACCTCTAAGTCATACCAGTCAGCCTGGAACTTGTGGAGTAGCTGGTGTAATCAACAAGAAATTGACGCCTTTTCACCCTCTGTGCAACAAGTAATCAATTTTTTGGCTAACCAATTTGAGATTGGCAAAGAGTATCGCACCATTAATGTTTATCGTTCAGCTATTTCCATGACTCTCCCAAAAATTGAGGGTGTTAATATAGGACAACACCCCCTTGTATGTCAGGTCATGAAGGGCATTTTTCACAAAAAACCACCCCTTCCAAGGTATACAACTACTTGGGATGTGTCAAAAGTGCTTGTTTACATGAAGTCTTTAGGGGATAATGTTTCTTTGACAAGGAAGCAACTCTCGGAAAAACTGGTTGTTTTGTTTGCCCTAACATCTGCAGAGAGAGGTTCAGAATTAGCCGGACATGATCTTCGGTATCGAACCTTTTACCCAGAAGGAGTGGAATTTAAACTTCCAATTGTAACTAAGTCAATCCGTGTAGGTAAATCCCTAAAAACCTCATTTCATGCTAGTTTCCCAGATGACAAGCAATTGTGTCCCTGTGAATGCTTAAAGGCATATGAGATGTCAACATCGTCTTTTAGGGCATCAGATCCAGCACTGCCGAATAAATTATTTCTATCCGTTATTAAGCCACATAGCCCGGTCTCATCCTCGACTCTAGCACGTTGGATCAGAAACTTCCTCCAAGACGCAGGAATAGATTCTGATACGTTTAAAGCTCATGCTACAAGAGGAGCTTCGTCTTCAACAGCCGCTAGAGCAGGCTTATCTGTCAGTGATATCATGAAAATGGCTGACTGGTCAAGTGATACCACCTTCCGTCGCTTTTATTACAAACCTGTCAGTAATCCAACATTTGGCAGGGCTGTTCTTAATGTTTCTAAAGATTAGGCTTTCTAAGAACTAGCATTGTTATATGAGGCGACACTTTATGAAGTACAATTTCAGATTATGCAAGACCCGTAGGGTTGAAGTATAAGATGAATTGTACGAATAAATGGAGACGAATATAACAATGCTCCCCCCCTCACCACCCGTTGTTATTATGTTGTTTGTATTTTATTTCTTTTTAGATTCGCTCAGCTAAAAGACGAAGTATGCGGGGCGGACGTGGTGTTTATCAGGGGTTAGACAGTGGAACCCAGTCTTTATATTATTTTGTTATAGTTACTTTAAATTCGCTGTATTTTGAGTGAAGTAATAAAGATATAGCATTGTTATATTCGTCTCCATTTATTCGTACTATTCATTTTATACTTCAACCCTACGGGTCTTGCATAATCTGAAATTATATCTGAGAAATTGTACGGGGGGGGGGAATTATAGGAAAGGAAGTCAATTAAAAAAATAAATCGGAGAAAAAACTAGTATCATCGTAAAGGGAGTAAACCGGCTGCACGTGAACAATATATATATATATATATATATATATATATATATATATATATATATATATATATATATATATATATATATATATATATATATATATATATATATATCGATAACTCACATGTACCTGTTGGATTATCGGTAGATCTGGTGGCTTTATTATTTCGGGATCGGGATATCGATCGGGATGAAAGCGTGCTTTTCTTTGTGCTTGTGCGCACAATGTCTCGCATCTAGAAAACGAAAAATAATTTGCGACATGATAAGCGTGGCATTTATAACTAATCTATGTATTTTACTCAGATTATGGTCTTCAACTTTAACTATAAAATACATTATAGAGTGAAAAATAAAAACGCCGTTGCTCTGCATGCATGGAGCTTAAGCTTGCGCTCTTTTTGCCGACGTCTGTATCAATAGTCTCTTTGCAACCGTTACGTTTTGATGATCGAATTACATATACTTCTACGCTAAAACAACTGATCATGTTCAAAATATTTAGAGTTCGTGTAGTTGATCTGCCTGATCACACAGATGGATTTTTCGAAGTGGTTAAGGATATTTTCCGGACTGTAGAGAAACTTTATATCACGAATACGATAGAAAAATTGTACAAAACTTATTTACCGGTTTCACGTGAAATTTATATGGCTTTTGAAATATTATATGGGCATCCCAAATACGAGCACAAATCAGATTCTGCTCATAAATTTCGCAACTTGCTGGCTGTTCTACACGTGTTCTCTGACTTAGCAAAAGCAAAGATTTTTCCAAGCTGTTTTTTGTTATTCTTCTCCTATAAATGGCTGCAAATTCGACAACTGAATCTAATGCTGGCTGTTCTAACGTTAAACCAAAGAAAAATGACTCGAAAATGTGTAAATATATCTGTAAATATCGTCCAAACTCTGCTTAGTTCGAACTCAAATGCTCAATCAACTCAAGTTTAATGTCGTTGTTTTGACCATGCACTATAATTTGAATGGAATGACTTAAGTTTGAGTGGAAGATGTCATGCGCTTCCGAAAATCTGGACGCCAGGCACCTTCTCATTTTGCCACTCTTGACAAAGTCGCAATGAGAAAAATCCAACGATGTCTTAATTCTCTAGAAGCTTTAAATATGAAGAAGGTAAACCTAGGCATTAACTTCGCATTGAAACATCGCATCTTAATAATACTGCGTGATATGATTTTATAGGTTTTATTTGTTTGACTTATTTTATATGTTATTGTTCATTTGTTTTATAGCTGTTATTATTCATTTGGCTTGGGTGGAAATTATTTTATCTTTACTTGGCATAATTTGAGTTGGTATTTTTATAGGCTATTACAGATGAAATAAAAACTAACACGTATACACCAGCGACAGCAATTTTGTTACTGGTTGCTGGTAATGCGCATACTGAGCTCGTTATTTTTTCAAAACAAGTGAAAGTAGAAAAAATTTAATATGCAATTTTCGCCATGGAAGTTTTTTTCTATTTTACCGGCTCTTATTTGTTCTTTTTAATCTCCACTTGGCAGGAAGAACATAGCATTTTCACAATTAGATTTAAACACTTACAACAAGCATACGTTGAGTAGAAATGCATGATAGAATGCAAACAGCTTACCTGGTTATTAAAGACACAATGAAATAAGAAAATCAGTAATCCTTGAGCGGAATTAAACACGGCAAAAAGATAGCGGAAAAACAGGGTCTCTCTGTTAAATGTCAACAAACCAAATATCCAGGTCAGCCCGAGAACGGGAAAGATTACCGCAGAAGCTTTAACGCCAGCTTTCACTTTCTCAATATTACTTTTAGTTTTTAGTTTTCGTGTTCTCATCATTTTACGCATGACCATGACAAATACGATTGTGTTGATCTAAATATTAAGAAAAAAGTAATAACAATGTGACCAAATCTACTAAATTTTACCATAGTTACCCGATCAAGTCGGGTGCACATATACAGACAGTCCAACCTGTTTTTTATATAAACACATTGAGCCCAGGAGGGGGCATTCTAAGTAGTCTAACTAGATTTAAAATCATCATATATGTTCATTCTTAAAACAAAGATAAAAATCGAGAAAATAAGGCGCAGACAAACACCGTTGAAACCCGGTTTAAATTAAAACCGCACTCTATACCAAGTGTTCTTAAACTCTTGAGAATAAGTCTGTGACAATGAAATTCTTCAAATTAAAACACCATGCAGGGCATTGATTTCTGAACTGCTTGAAAGAATGAGGGAAAAAATCCAAGATTTCTTCATTCGGAGGTCTTTTTAGGCAGTTTATCGACTGATTGAATTTTAAAGCTGTGTTACACATTGCAACTTTTTTGCAACTTTATTGCAATGCATCCTACTTAGAGTTTTCGAAAGATATGCATAATTATATGAGAGCATGTTCATGTGGAGTGTAATAGGCACAAAAGTGTCGTAGTTGTTAGATATACTCTCAATCTCCTAAAGCATTGGTGGTTGCAAGGAAAATTGCAATGTATAACAAGGGCTTTTCCTTTTAGTAGACTTAGTAAGCATATTCATTGCATGTCTGAAAAGAATGACACTTAGATTTGACAGAAAACGTTTGCTGATTTCAACATGTCATGAAGACCTACCAGTATAACAATGAATGCGGGTCCTACGAAGGCCCAGATCACTTTGTTCTCAACGCTAAGCCAACATGAAGTTTCGGTTCCGTATCCATCACCTTGAGTTGCTCCAAGTGACACAGCAACAATCAATAAAGGTATACCTGAAGTGAATAGTGAATAAATTATAAATTCTAAAAAGAATATTATTCAGTCGTGCATCCTTTTGCTAACATATAACATATGCCACGTTTTTAGGATTTATAGTTGGTAAGGATAATTACTTAGTGTGCAAAAGAAAGAAAGTGCCTTCTTCAAAAAACTGTTATTGAATTTAGTTTAATTACAAACATGCACATTGCGGTATCTTGCTTGGACATGGCCTATTTAAGGACTGTATTAAGTTAAGACGTTATTTTTTAAAGGACATTGGCGATCGCAAAAATATAAGTGCTGGTATAGTAAAAAAATGCGGAGTAATGGCAAAACCCATAAAAAAAATAAAATAAAAAATAAATGGGCTGACTGAAAGCCGTTATTAATAATTAAAATTGAAGAATTGTTTGTGATTGTGAATAGTGAAGTGATAATTAGCAGATCTGATCTAAATTATGGTACTACTCAGAGGCGTAAGTTTGGAGGGGGGAAGGGTTAAATAGACACGTGAGTACATAGCAGCAGTGTAAAAATAAAGTTATCAGAGAACCATCATTACCTGACTACGCACACTAACAAGGAATATTAATATTGAATGAGCTATTAATAAACTATAAAATTGCATTTCTGACTTTGATTGACGTTCAGGATTGAAGACCAAGTTTGGTTTTGCCTCGGTATGAATTTTTGTGCAAGCGATCGGTCGATCTCATTTGTGACATAACCCCGTTTCCCCCGACCACCAGCATATTATTATTGATGTACACGCCCCTACAAACACTCACCCCAGCCAATGAAGTTGAATATTTTCCAATTTCGGCTGCGGCCTTTGTCAAATACACTTATTACCAAGACGTAGAGTAATATACCCTCGCACAACATCCATCCAAATGCTGACAATACGAAAAAATGCAATAAAGCTGCTACTGCTTTGCAGAAACTCTGTGGAAGGGATAAACGGGGAAATATAAAAAGGTTTGCAATCGTTTTTAGATCATGAGATTAATTTCACAGTTTGAATGTTAATAAAATCAAAATTATTCCTTTTTCAAGGACTTAACGTTGTTTTGACTTTTCATTTCAAACTTTCGACCTCGTTAGGTGTTTTGCTGGATCTGATAGGAGCTTTCAAACATTTGCGTTTCGATTAAATTTAGGCAATATAAAGAATTATCTTAAATTACCATCGTTCAGTGACACGGCTAGCTCAGTCTGTCTCCTTCTCGAGGAATTGAAAATTAAACAAAAAATCAAACAAAAAATTTAGCGGGATCTAACAATTGTGATCCGTGGAAACCCACCGAACTTTAGCACTTGGTTTTAAATTCGTTTCAAATTTTAGTGCACGCATTTAGCTAATCACATGCAATTAATCCAAATTTCGATAGATCCAAAAACATAACATAGCCGAACAGCCGTTTTTATTGCAGGTTGGCGAATTATTTATGTAGACATGGTTTGCGCATGCTAAGGAAATAATTTCCTCTTTGAAATAACATGCATTTTACATACAGGTCTAAGAGTGCAGTTGCTATTTTAAATGGAGACTTACCAAATTATCTCTAGCAACACCCTCAAGAATAGCGAAGACATCAGTGAATCCAATCGCAACACACATGCTGATTAAAATTTTGGCACGTTGTGATTTCACTTTTTTCCAATAAAAACCTTGCATGAGGATCGTTAGCGTGACGCCAAGAAGGGATATTGAACACCCAACTGTAGAAATCGTCTCCAATATTTTACGCTCTGATTCTGTCACCTAAGAACAGATCTTTTCTTTCTCAAAAAAGTTTTGTATAACATCGTCCTCTCCACTCAGCGCTTTGTAATTGTCCTTATATTTATTACCCCTTTATAGTAATTACGAAAGAAACGTTCCGATGATAAATCATTATTTAGTTTAATGAAATGCATGGATTTCGTGCTGAAGGAACTATTATGTAGATTGGTGAAAGAATGAAATCAATTAATCCTGAAATCCTGTTCTCGGGAATAAAAGGGATATATTTGTAAGGTTATCCATGGGCCGTGTAAGCAATTAGTGCAAAAGTCTATTATTAATTAAGTTAAAGAGAAAACAAATTTTCGTAGCTATTGTCGTAAGTCGAAAATATCACGCTTACTTATAGATGGTTCAGTTTTAAGCTATAGTGGCCATTGGTGAACTTCGACCTTGTACGTTCCTCCCATGCATGCATGTGGAAAAGATGGAAACGGAAAAAAAATTAAAAGCTATTAATATCCACTGTACCTCGACATCAGCAACATCCATCATGATCGCAAAAGCAGTGTTATGATCACAATCACATGTCACGTTTTCTTCACCGGATTCTGCCTCGTTCAAAGTGCATCCACTACTGCTCCAGTTACTGCGGCGATTGTTGGGCTCAGTAAAAGCGCATATCCGTTTTGGGTTCACGTAACCGGTCTAAAAAATCCATTGTAAAAGGTTTCTCTTGTTTGGTTTGAATAGCTTTCGCTTAGCTAGCAATAATTAGAGTGAGCTAGTGACAGGTAGATCAGAGTTCTTTATACAGTTTTTGCATGTAAATTGAACAGCCAGGATTTAATTGCCACAATTATCAATTAAAAGAAAAATTTACTCGAAGCAGTAACTATTGCCAAATGGCGATTGATGAAGAAGCTAAATAGAACGCACGTGAAGGAATTCACGTCAAAATGAAAGAAGTGAAATTCTTAATATGATTGTTACGTTGTTAGGGCGGTGTTACATTATGCAACTTTCCTTGCAAATTGCATTACAATTTCTGGTTTTGAGGGATGTTGGTTGTAAAGAGTGTCCGAAATGCTAAGAAAACGTCAGCAGATCGTAAGAAATGTTCGCAACTTCAGCTACTTCACAACTTTAGATGCCTCAGGAGTAGAATTGCATTTCACATTGCAATGAAAGTTGCATAGCGTAACACCGCCTTTAGTTACGATTTACGCGTAAGCTGATTAAGCTTCTAGATACAGCCTTACTTATGAATCATTCTGTATAAGGATACTACCTGGTTATTTTGTATTACAATCTTCAGAGGCTCAGCCACTGTCGCATTAAGCGGTGGTTCAGTCGTTAATGACACAATCGTACTCCTGATCACAACCAAAGCTAATTTTATAGTATTATCAACAGATTCCTTCAGCTCTTTGTTTGATAATATATCCTTAATTGAGCTGTACTTCACCACTGTGACTTGCCGGATATCGTTGGTAACACCACCAGGGATAATAACACCTCCTTCAGTATTCAACAAGCTGATATCTTTAGGTGTTGCAAGTTGTTGTTTGGATAGCTTTATACCAATCACATCTATGTTTGGGGTGCTATAGAATACCACCTTTCCCGTTTCAGCCGTTTGTGAGATGACGTTTTTTGCATTGAGATCAACCCCACTCATAATCTGACTTGCTAAATCATTTCTAGACTGGAAAGAATGATGTCGAATTACTACTCGACATTTTTCAGTTAATCCTATGGAATGAATTACTGTGATAGGAAAATTGAAGCTGTCAGACCCTTCCTCTTACAGGAATATTCTCCCAGACATTCTTTCGCTCTCTGTCGACAATATTACTTGAAGTACGAATAAAATTTTGACGGTCATCCTGGGTTTTTGTTCTCTCCTTGGTCTGGTCAAGAATAGAAACGATGTCCTCAACATCTTTCACATAAAGTACTTCATCTCTTGTAACGTCTTCAGTTTGAGACATAATATCACTGACATTTTCAGATTGAAATCCTTGCACCAGTCGTGAGACCTTGTAAATAATTTTTGGTTAATATTCACCAATATTACTTTCTATTTCGACTGGTAAAATTGCCTCCAGTAAGCTGGATCCTGTAATGGCGTTACTAGAACGATAATTTGGCGGTGTTTAATTCATATATTCAGTATGAACTGAATAAAATTATATACACCCCCTTCCTCCTTATCGTTCTATAGTTACGCCCATGGGACCTCATAAATATGGAAAAGTAGCCAATAACTAATAAATACACTACCTTATCAAGAAGTGAAGTGACAATGATGCTTCTACAGTTGGAAGAGTTTACATCATTCCACACGGGTTGTACTTCCCCACTGATACACAATCGTGACACCGTTCCTGAATGTAAATGAAATTGGCAATTTGCTTCATGGACGAATATTCATTTCAGAAAAGAAAATAAAAAATTTACCATGCATACGTGAAAGGAACACACACCAAAATGTACGTAATGTTCGGTTGAAAATGGGGGGAAATGAATTATTATTTTACCAATTTCATGAAATTTTGTAAGCTTTTGAGTTTTTGAAACGTCCACTAGTTCGGCAAAATGCGAAAAAGTAAGCAAGATTCGGCAAATTGGGATCTTTGGCACATTTTTGCATAGAACTGAGACTAGATGTCTTGTGGAAATCGCAATAGAATTAACATTAAAACCATTATGAATATTACGAATGCCACAATCTTGGGGATAATCCGTTGAGGCATGGGAAACATCTATACCAAAACTCGTACAATCTCTGTAAAATCGTGCTTGCATACCCGCTGTATCAGTCAAATAACTTGACGTTTGTGTGCGCAGGTTGCAAGATTGAACTCTACAACATCGAAGGGGTAACCAAATATGTCGTTTATTGTATGCGTACTTGTCTTTGATTGTATGTAAGCAATTTTGCAGTTTTATAGTTCCAGTCTTTCCCTCAACGTCGGGTAAACCAGATGATTACCTGATAAATAAGGTTGTCTCATCTTCAAAGATTGATAGATATACCTGCACCATGGAGTAATCGCTTACTGGAATATTAGTCGAATTATTTTGTTTGGCTAATCAAGCAAGTAGCGGTCCTCGCGTTAGTCAAATATAAATACTGCGGCATGATTTCATACCTAGAGTATCAGAATCGTCGGTACCATGCATTTCTAAACTTAAATCTACCAGTGGAATTACTTTAAAGGCATTTGACAATATCAATATATCCAAATGTTTACTTTTTAAATTTATTTTCAGTATCGCTAAACCCCCCCTCAAAAAAAAAATCAAATCTACCCACGAGAAAAAATAACAAACCTGTCGTTCCATTAGGACAACTTTTTATGGCGTCTGCACCAACTGGAGTCTTTTCCCAAGTGTAACCGCTTTTTTCTTCTTCAAAGCAAAAATCTTCAAAATCTGAAAAAAATTTGAAAGCAATTTCGGTATCTTATAGAACCTATCTGAAATTCCATCAAAAGAGTGCACCTGACTGCGAAAAATTCCAGAAAACTCCCATACACTCATATTGTACGTCCAAGAAAAAATTTCTACCTTGAGAAAAAATATCCACTGTAACATTTTGGCTCCTTCCCACGCCGTCTGAGTTTTTGGCAAAGCACCAGTACTTTGCAGTGTATCTCTGTCCACCAGAAAGCTGTGTTTTTGATAGGTCTAATTTTCTAGTTTCGTTTATAACACCAGATTCTTCAGAGCTGAACCACGTAATCTTTACACTTGAATCATCACCCTGCGTCACTTCACATTCTAATGTTATTGCATCACCTTAAAAGGAATCAAAGTACGATTAGTCAGTAGAGTAACCAGCTTGACGGAAAAAGGGAAATTTCGTTTTAGACCATTCAGCAAGTTCGTTTACATTTTCAGTAACCCAAACAGAATACATAAAATTTGACTACTTCTGGTAAAAAGGCACATTGTTTACCATTTTACATGAAGTAAAATAGAGACATAATGATTGCTTTTGACGAAAAACTATAAATATGCCGATTATTCTAAAACGAGATTTCACCTTGTTGCCTGACAATTTAGTCATGCTATGCCAATATTTAGGTGTTCATTGACTGCGAAAACAATGGATTTCTAAAGAAATGAATAATTATAATGACTTAAAATTTGCATAAAAATATTATGAAATCGTCTCATCGTCTCTTATTTTGGTTTTTCAAGGATCTGATTATCGTTTAAAATGACTTTTCTTGAAGTAACTGTTATCTTAACAGACACAAAGACGTGCAGATATATAAGTATACTTAAATCTCAAGTGATGCAGGCCATTGAGCAACAACAATCACAGTTCATACGAAGGAGGCTAGACTTACCTTCTGAGGCGGATACAAATAATGGAGAAACTTTAACTACTGGAATGACTTTCACGTTGACAGATACACTGGCTTCGATCCTATCTTCCCCTTTACTGCAACAAATAAAACAATAACGCTAAATTTGATAAAAAACATAAAAAAATCCAAGTAAAATGTTTATAGTAAAATATTTGATTTGTTGGTGCAACTAAACTATGCCACTGAAAAAAATTCTTTCGTGTCAATAAATTGCACTTCCTGTTCCTGTACCTATATTTTACTCGTGTGTTTCCATTTGAATTGACTTTTTCTTTTCTTTTGATTTTCTTTATTATTTTGAGGTTAAAACAATACAATAAAATTCAGTAGGGAGAAATATTACCTAACAATACAGTAATATTCGCCCGAGTCTGACTTCCCAGTTTTTCGGACAAACAAGCGTGATCCCTGATTATCGTTCTCAATCTTTACCCTCGATGAAAATGACAGAACCGTATCGTCTTTTTCCCATTGAAAGATGGGTAGGAATGGTCCACTTATGTTACAACTTATTTCCAGTGTATCCCCGAAGAAACCACTGTATTTAATTTCCACTCTAATGTCTGTCAGAGCTATAAAACAGAAGCCAAATATTAAGAAACTTCCCCTATATAAACTAGCAATTAGGTCTTTCAAATGCATGTATGCCTAAAGGCTTGTAATCAATATGATTCCATGTCATTTTACTGTGTTTATGAAACCGCAAGGAATTCAAAAAAATAATTGGTTGATTTTCTGGCTTTAATAATAGGATGGATGTTCGTTGTATGACGATTGAAAGTTTTCGTATAACACATTCTGAGTTATCTTCAGTTCATTATGTTCTTAAAGGGATACGGCAAAAAATTATCTTTGTCTATTTTAAACGGAACGTCATGAATATTTACAAAATTTGTTTACGGATTTTTGTAAACGTTATTACTTCTGATGATACTTTTGAATGAAATTATCTTCCATCCGCCATTTTGGATATGCATATTCTTGGCCGGATATGTATACGTCATAACCTATAAGCTGGGTGAAAACTCGCAGCGAAGTGATAGTTCCAATATATTAATCTCGCACGTATCTCAAACTAAAACGTTTGGATTGTTATAGTCCTAAACTAAAGCGTAAGCATGTAGTTGTTATTTTTAAGATCTCAATAGGCTAAAACACAAGATGGCGGATTTATCACGATAGCCGATTCTTTTGATCGCCAATATCTTGCAAATGGAAGATGAACAAATTTTGTAAAAAGGCTTTATAACAAGTGTAAATTTTCTTTTCAACGCAACAGAAATTGCCATGCATAACATTCCTTTAACTCCGGTTGATTACTGATATTGCTTATTTTGTTTCCACTTCCGAATGAAAATCAATACAATTTTATCACGAAGAGACGCTTTGATTGCGGATTAACGGGAATAGTCAACTATTGAGGAAGCCTAATTTTACAACGGAACTATACTATAAGGGCTGCTTTCCATTGTCGCGTTTTTGCACGTGCATGTGGTAACTGCCTAAACAGAGAAAAATACTTTCATAATACAAAATCCCCTGACAGGAAATAGACAATCAAAACAACTTTCCGTTTTCAAATGAAATTCTTCTAGCATTATTGAAAGCCATCGTATCCCCTAAGCAAGTGTGCCTTATTTGCTCTCCCTAATGTTAATTACCACTGCAAAACAAGTTAGGGATGTTTTCCACTATCGCGTTTTTGTACGTTCGTATTCGCGCGTAAAAGTTTAAAACAATTTAAATAGTATACTTAAGGCACTTTTACACGGTGCAATTTTTCTTGCGACTTGCAATGCAGTTCCACTTTGAGAGATGTATATTTGGGAAAAACGAATGTTTATTACGCCTCGTGCGCTTTTCTTTTGCAAGACTCTTCACTAATCTACATCTCTTAGAAGTAGAATGCATTTCAAGTTGCAAGAAAAACTGCACCGAGTAACAGGGCCTTTATAAAATCAACAATTGAATAGATGCATAGGGTTGGATTCTGTTGATGATTCGCAGGGTTTTTCAGGTATAAAATTAATTATACAACAACTTAGAAGGTTTTCAGTTTTGACGTGCGTGTACCACAGACGTTTCGACACCGCTCCATGGTTATTCACAGTTTTCAAACTGTTCTTATATCATAACAAATCATTTGCACAAATCTTAAATACCTGGTAGATCAGTAGCAAAAGTAATGGAATTTGGAACAATTGAAATGTTTCCGATCATTCCAGTTGTGTTACTGTTCTCTAAAACTTTAATAACTTTGATAATATCCACAGGGGAATCTGAAAGCCCGACCATCACGATTTCCGCCTCACAGATGACACTTCTTTGTCTTTCTCTAAACATACATGATCAAATCACTGAATCAGCTCAATCACTCAATTTTTTTTAAAAAATGGTTAAAACTTAAAGTTAGGGGGCTGTTTACATGAGCTGGCGGTTAACCGAGATTCAAATCTTTATGAAACCAAGCAAGCACATGCTATTGTCAGGAAGATAACATCTGTGACATTCTCAAAATCAGCTTATACTCTTTGTTGAATTTTGGGTAACCGGGCTCGTGTAAACGGCCTCTAAGAAGTCAATCCATTGAATTGACGGTTGAACGATAGAAACTGCAGACCACCGCAAGGGAAAAAATACGATCGTGGTTGCCGTTCCCAATCCTGGTTTGACGTAGGTTAACCGTTTTTGTCATGTCATTTCGGCTGGATTAATTAGCATTACAATAATAGATTATCGAAAGTCGAAGAGGTAGTTTGACATACCAGGGCCTCTTATAACATATAGAGTGGCCTCCCACTTCAATGCCGGTTTTGACCCCCACCCTGTAAAAATAGATTGTCTGAAAAAACGTTGATAAAAAAAGATTCCTTTACTTTCACTAATATTATCTCTCGAGTGCGAAAACTTATTAATCTAAAATCGAGCAATTGATTTCAAAAATTTTTAAAGTACCTCCTTCGGCCACGATCAACATGTATACTTCGTTGCGTCAAGGATAGCACCCTTTTTGTTAATCCCCCCCCCTTAAGTTCCTTAAAAGAGGCCCCTTAATTGGCACATACGAGCGATATATCGCTGCAAAAAAGGCTTGTAATACATTATTAAAATATCTGTATGATTGGATAATATTTTTCCAGTCAATACATCTCAACCAACCTGAATCGATAGATATTCGTGCGACGATATTCGGAAGTAGAAAATACTGCGTCAAACTTAAGAAATAAACGTGTTTTCAATTGAATCATTAATAGTTATGGTATACATACACTTTTGTATGCAAACTCACCGAATGTTAAAATAATAAAGCAATTGAATAATAATTCTATCAATCAACTCACATTGTTCTTGATGAATCGAGAAAGTGTCTGGAAACTAGCAGAATTTCGGTTGTTTAATTGCTCAGTAAATGATCTATTTCTTAACGTGAATGTGGTTACAACAAATATATCTCTCAAAGCTAAGAAATCAGAAATAAACAACATAATAAATTATAATTGGTAGTATGTGAATGTATGTTTAAATCACCTAAACGATATAATAATGATACACTATGAATATATAAATAATTAATATTGTTATGTAGGTGCTGTGTATATTTTAAATATGATTGGTTCATTCTTTATAATGTGATTGGTTCAGACTTTAAAAAATGCGATGTTTCCCGAGAGGGAAACAAGTGAAAAATTATTGCCCGCTTCTTGTCACAACAAAGTAAAATTTTTTTTAAATAAAATTGTTGTGTAACATGTATGTTTTTGTTCCTATATAACAAAACACTTAACGTACACTATACCTCGGGAAATAGTGAGTTTTGTTTTCCTCGAATCGTAATGTTTCTCTTGGAAAAACAAAACTCACTTTTGTTCATTACACACTCACTATTTGTTGACACATCGAGTAGTTTATTACACACTTTTAATATAAAAGATTCATGTGATTACCAGAAGTTTGATTTGCTCTGATAATGGTCCGGGCTTATGGACTGAAAACTCTGCAAAACTAAATTCATGTTGTGTTTCCAAAACAAAACGTACAAAAATAATATAAATTGTGGTATCACTGCATGGTATGATTGTTTCGCTTTGCAGCTGTATACAAAAATTTGCATGATAATGTCGGATAAGAAATGTTAAAAAAGGTGTAAATAGGAGGATTAACAAACGTTAGTATAATTACAAACTAAGATTATTGAAATTTTCGGCCTCTGATAGATCAATCGACTTCGGATTATTAGATGATAATAAACTAGCTAAGCCGAAAAATTAGGCCTTCAAGGTAAAAAACTACTTGGTAGAAGGTTTTTCAAGTTTATTTTGCCAAAATATCAATGTTATATTTGAATTGCTGCAAAAGTGTCCAGATATTTGTTTAGGAGTGCATTTTCCACAGCAGATTCGTTTTTTCAAAAACTCACCTTTTATTTCTCCAAGAACTTCGTCTCAGTTTTTATTCAGCGATACTCACCTTGCATTTGGGGAATAATTGTTTATTGTTAATTTTAAAAAAGTATTATCCTTATAATCATTATTATTATCGACTATATATTACCTGCTCCACTTCCTTCAACGGCATCACGTCTGGCGCGATGCTCACCGACATTTGGTTTACGAAGAAAAACAAATACGTTCTGTGTCATTTCGTTTTGCTTTTGGAAGCTTTTAGGTTCTATTTAAAAAAATACAGCAATCTTTTCAAAGAAAAATCACATGCCTCTACACGTACGACTCCTAACTTGATGACGTCACAGAAACCCAAGAATAGAGACAATGATCTGTATGTTTGTTGGGTTTATAATTATTTCCTATCGAAAGTTGCGTAGCTAGTCTGAGAATTTAGTTCCGGTGTACAATTTTTTCAGAGGTTTATTTTCTCTAGGCAATAATCTCTAAAATTTTTTATATTGAGAAATAGTGAGTCCTCTATAATAGTTACCTGGTAGCATGTTGTGTTCTTCCCATGATTGCTCCAAAGAGAATTCGTTTTCCCAGCTGTTGTTTAACTGATTTTCAGCTGGAAATAAATTTCTTTGTGATATTAATCTGCTTCCATTAAATAGTAAGACGCGCATATAGACGCGCATATAATAATACAGGGTGTATAAAAAAGGTAATCCAACTTCAACACGATATTGTACGTGAACTACCCAGTCTATATCAACAAAATATTTTCACATCAGTAAAGATCAGGCTTTTAGCTATCGGATGACATGCTTTTAATACAAAATGGTGAAAAAATGAGCACATACGAGGCTGATAAAAAATGTTAGTCACAATCGCATTATTTCATCTTTGAACCTAATTAAAGCAGTGCATAACAAAAACAATTAATCACGAACATGACACAGCTTGCACTGTTTTTACAACATGCTTATTGCAATTATTTACATTTAAGCCGGTTTTCCACTAGCGATATTTTTCGCGCGAAGCGACATTTTACTTTTGTTCCAATAAGGCTCTCAACTGCAACCATCTGAAACAAATTGCTCAAATACAAAGGAATAAAGTCGCTTCGCGCGAAAAATATCGCTAGTGGAAAACCGGCTTTACACGTTTAAAAAGAGATTTTGCGCCGATCCGTTCAACTTGACCACCATCTCTATCAATACAAAGTTGACATCGCCGCCGCACATCTTGGAATGTTCTCCTGATGTGATTTATGCCTACTTAATATACATATGCGAGATTATTCAGAAGCAAAATTCTTCCCAAAGGGAGTTAATTTTCAATGGTTTTAGTCACAACACTTAGAGGTGAAAATATGCGATTTTGACTAACACTTTTTATCAGCCTCCTATATTTGTTCATTTTTTTCACCATTTGATATTAAAAACATGTCATTTGATATAGTTAAAAGCCAAAACTTTCCGGAACACGTACAATAGCGCGCCAAAGTTGGATTACCTTTTTTTTATACACCCTGTATAGCATATATAATACTATAGTATAATATTATAGAAGAGTTACCGTTATAATATTATACTTATTTAAATAATTGACGACATAAATAAAGGAAAGTAAAAAGCTTGAGGCAACTAAAGGGACCAGAAATCTAAACGAAAGAACTATAGAAGAACAAAATAATGAAAATTATGTTCTATAAAAGATCATTCCCAAAAGCTTTACGATTTTACCGTGCTAATAATGAAGTATCAGCGGCCCATCAAATTTTTGCAATGCTCTTATATTTCTCAGTCTATATAAATCCACACTCTCGGCCTTGACAACTTTTCATCAGCGCATGCAATTGACAGAAAAATAAAGTGTAAAATAAATTGTGAGAATTCTGCCTTTAAAACACAGCCGATAGCGATCGGATATTTAAATACTTACTTGAAGGAAAAAATATGAAGGTGAACAGACAAACTTTCCATATCATTTTTCCTATTAAAAAAGTTATAAATAATACTGAATTAAGTGCTTAAAAATATTTTCTCGTTTTCCATGGTTCTAAAATCAAATTATATTTCTTGTAAAGACTTATACTCAGTTTTCATAGGTCGAACCTACCTAAGCCTACACGGCCCTACAGACTATAAAATACCTAAAAATCAAAACTGTGTTGGATCACACAAAATTGGATCGTTTTGACAGACTTTAGTAACACGAAAGAAATGATTCATTATAAAGAAAATCTTTGGCACCATTATTTTCACTAATTATCAAACGCTAAACAAACCAGCTACGAAGAAAAAGATTCTTCAGACGAAAGTACCTGTAAAAATCCCATTAGTTTACAAATAACCCGTAACTATTGCATTAAACATTCTAAGTTATCTTTCTCGTAATTTTTAAATAAAGATTATAAACTGTGAAATGTAATCTAATGCTGGTCAAACTGGTCAAACAATAACTGTATTGTTACCTTTCATAGCAGTCAGAAATACAGTGATGACACAATAGTTTATTTACGATAATGTATACATCGATATGGATAATGCATAAATAGCTAGCATATCCACGGCAACTCAAGATTGTTTTTTAAATGATTAAAACTCTTCAGTCATCTAACAAAGAAGTCTTTGTAACAGATTTGTATATTTGTGTGAACTGTGCATGAATATAGTTAATTATGATCATAACAAACCCGGAAATCGTTTAAAAGAATACAGACTTCTCGCGCTTTTCTTAGCTATTCAGATTGGATCATAGGATAAAAAATCGTTAATGACCACAGTTTTTATTTCTATCGTCTCAATTCACGGTCAATGCGTCCTGAAAATGAAGTGTTATGAACACGTAATGCCAGTCGATTACGTGTACATGTTTATATGACGAGACGGGCGCCAAACAAACACCTTACCTGATAGTATACGTCTTTGCCACCAATTGTTTATAATTTTGCTCACGTACGAGTAAATATCGTCCAGCCATAAAATATCGAGAAACTCTAAAAAGACGCCATAATATTTACTGATGACTGATTTCTTGTTATTTTCATCGAAACTCCTAGAATCATGTTGATACAATTGAGGGTAGCCTGAATATGCAAACTTCACCTATCTATGTATCTCATTTAAACCACAATAGGTCGTGACAAGGCAACCAGACAAATGAGCAATTTCCGCTCTATTTTGAAGCAATAATTTTAAGTATGTTGATTGCTCGTTTTCGTTTAGCAAGAAAGTTCAAGCCCGATCACTTGTTAATAAAAAAATAATCGATATCAGTTCAGTTGATACAGGCTGTAAAACAACTAAATGGTAATAGAAATGAATTATATTGAAAATCAAATATATTATTGTATAGAGAACGTTTGTATGATACATACACTTAACATTTGACTGAGTTCTTTTAAATTCCTATCAGTAGGGGTTTAAACTGAGATTTAAAACGGCATTGCGACAGCTAGTAACAGTCAAAATACAGACAAAATACAGTCAAAATAGTTATAATGTTTTCCGTTGTACATCTCTTTAAAATTCAACGAACATGAATGCGTCAATTCAATGAAAAAGAATGGCGTCATATGATTGATAGTCATGGTTATGAAACGTTCTACACAGAAGTGAAATGAATATAAAATTGCCCCTGCTGAACCATGAAATTATTTTGAATTATTTATATAAGTTGTGTGTTCATGATTAGCAAAATATTCCTGACAAGGTATAATCTCGGTTCTGACCATATGATTTAAGCAGCACAGGCACTGCAGTTACGTCATACATTCTTACGTACGTAAGAACCCTGGCAACTCTGTAGCAAAAAATATGAAGCACACATTAATACCATCGCCATCCAGAGTTGAAGACGACTTAAAAATACATACTAACCTTAGTAAATAAAAAGTGTATCGTAGAAATGTTCGAAGGGGGCAAGTTACTCGACAACGGGCAAGCTAAGAAATTAGCTTAACCTTGGTGAAAATCAAACCCGCGACCTTTTGTTTGGTAATCTAATGCTTTTCCAACTGAGTTCCTACAGGTCAAGATGGTAAAGAATCTCCATCATTCTTTGGAAGCTCGCGGGACTCCGTGTAATCTAAACGGCATTGTCTTAAATAAAATTGAAACAAGCCAAATGGTGTAGTGAACGCACGCTTTTCTCTTTCGAAACCTTACTGAAAGTGATTTGCGAATCACCACGGGTGAGATCAATCGTTGAGATGTACTTTGCTTTTCCAAGCCTGTGTAAAAGACTATCCATGCGGGGAATTGGACATGCGTAAAATCGAGAAGCATCAGACGATAATCTACACAGAGGCGGGTAGAACCACCCTTCTTTGGAACGAGTACGATGGGAAAAGCCTACTCACTGTTGCAAGATTCGATGATATCCATCTTTAGCATTCTATCTGCATAATTATTTCAAGTACGAATTGGTATCAGAGTTCAAGGGATCAGTATTTATACTCTCTTGCTGCATGTCGCCCAAAAAATATTTGAACATTTATTACACCATATAAAATTACTCTAAAGTACCTCGAAATGATCCTTTGCGATGGAACCTGCTTTACAATGCTTTATTGAACTTTATCTCATGATGACATGTCAGTAAATATAATTTCAAAGCCTGCATGCCTGCGCTCTGCTCTGTTCAACACCCCTAAATTCCCCAAAACACAGGCACCATACTCGGAGGGTAAACCATTCTAACCTAAGCATCATGTATATCTTCAAAATCCACAAGTGCATAACTTGAAGCAATTTAAAAATGGGGCTAGTTTTAACAAATTTTATGGTATTAAGTGCAAAACTGCATCGGTATCGTAAGATGCCAAAGTGGCGTTGCCAGGGTTCTCCTCAAGTGAAATGAAACATTTTTGAACATTTTCGAAATTTACATTTGTATACAGCAGATACGTAATCCTTCGTTTCAAGGGTTATACTTTTAACGTACATTTTGTTACTTTTTAAGTGCGTTCAACATAATATACACTACAGAGCTGAAATACCTGGACTACCAAAAATACTAGAACATCATTTTAACTTTTTTTTGGAAAGAGGATCATCACTTATTTTATCTATTGAGTTTTCATGTTCTCCATATAATTATATATCCAATATCTTGTCGTTGGTGGCCGTCGGAGTTTGATTTTATCACATACCTAATTGTTCTGCAACTTCATCAAAATATTTTAAAAGCTTAGGATCGAACAGTGTGCTGAAAAAGGTAATTAAGTCGGTCAAGGTAAGAGCCGTTCGAAAATGATTGATTACCAATCAACAAGGATCGGAGGAAAGATCTTATAAAGGGGTTTTGACCTCCTTCAATCATTGGACATCTCATTTTATTCCGTTTTTTAGTCTCTATGTCTTGATTTCGTGCATTTCGGAGACACTTATAGCCCAAATGTTGGCACCCGCCTGCACGAAAGACGGAAGTTATTGCTATATAGCGTCTGCGCGCAGGCTAGGGTGCGAGTTTTGTTACTGAAAAAATACAGAGGAAGATTTATTTTTCGAATTCGTACTTAGGAATTATTTATACGAACATCGTGAAGTAATTTTGTAATTTTGTGTCCGATGCTTGGCAAAACGCTACTGAAACGTTAGCAGACGTTTTGTTAATCTAAGATAGACAGTGGAATTTAATTTTTATAGTATACGCATCTATACGCACAGAAGCTAGAAAAACTATGACCATAAAAAGAAAAGTCAACTATTAAATTCATTATGATTTTTGGCACTTCACTCGACGTAGGTAAATTCTAGAGGTTTAAAGGTCTTAATTTCGAGTGGAATTATTGATTATCATACTCGCTGGTCAATATAGATCCTTCATTCGTGCATCCGATTTCGAGTAGCATGGTAAATGCAGACTAAACGTCCGAAGTGATTGGCGAAGGGCAAATTGAGAAAAATATGAAGAATCTTAAACATCCCACAAAGGTTTGATATGCATATACATTTTATTGTTTAACTGATTAAACTACAAATAAGACCTATGTAACTAAAGTAAGTTTCGTGTTTCATGCAAAGTCTAAAGTGATTTATCTTTGAAAGCTTCCCTCACAGATGAAATGACGCTTGTATGTGCAAGGCAAATCATTCCATTTCTCATCACGGACTACTATGGCGACACAATCTTCATGCCCTCCCTGATTATTCGGTTCACCAAGGCGCCAATTTATGTAAGATGGTTCGGTTCCTCGAACGCTGTAAAACTTGTTGTAACCCAGACCTTTGCTTACTTTATACAGACCAATGAATACTTCTTGAACATTGTGGGCTTTCATGGCATTAAAAACAAAATTATCGATTTCCGAGCTTGTGGGTACCACCAAGTCGCCACCTTGTGAACGACAGCTCCTCCTTGCAGAGAGCCAATTTGGTGCGACATTTTCGCTGACATAATAGCAACGGCCATTAAATTCCTCCTATTTGCAGGGGCAAGCAAGTGCTATAGAGGAAACATAATTTTACAAATAATAAGTGGGAGAAATTCAAGAATTGCTATATATGTACTGGATGTAAATAGCTCAAAGCCAGTTTTTATTCCCGCCACGCGAAGCGATATCTGAAATCCGGTGATGTGATTGCCTGGCAAGAGAATTCGCCGCGAAAATGTAGATGGCCTAATTAATTCGGCCTATTCTTTAAAGTGCTACTGCAACGAATTTTTCGACCCAATTTTTATTAGCCTAAACAAATATTCAGTCTTTTAGAAACAATTTGATGTATATATGACTTTTGTGTGTTAAGTAGAAGTTGACTAATTTTGCCCTCAAACCTCGGTATCAAATGCAAACTTTTATACGCGCCATGTTTGCTGATATGACGTCATAACGACTACCGATGTTTCGAAGCTTAATATGGTGATATAGGTATATGACTTGTTTGTTGTCCGCTTCGAATTTTCGACCTTGACGCGGAGAACTAAATCATTTTATTTTGGAAGTGGAATGGAAGTTAATTCTGTTAACTAACATATATTCAACGAATGCCTGGTAAAGGGTCTGAAAATATACGACGATTTGTTAGAAAATTCAAATTAGTCTTAGCCTGTCTGATAGCGATATAATGTAGTAATATATGCCATATATATGCATGTATGTGTTGTGCCACAAAGTCCTACATAAGACGATCTTGAAGAACTTAAAAAACTGCTTGGTCTTTCTGTAAAAGAAGACGAAGGCAATAATATGATGTCCTTGTTACTGATAATATTGGTGTATGCTATGCGATATATTCCTGCAAACCATAAACAGTAATATGATACTGCACTATTGTAAATGCCACATTGCGGCATTGCCACTGTTTTGCAATAGCGCGTATCGAAATATATCAAACACACACTAACACAGGTCTGTTTATCTACATAAATACTAAAGAAACACTATCATTGCTGATTTAAATTGATCTTCAATTTCTTAAGAAACAACACTGGCCGTGCACATTGAGACACCAAGGCCAACATCACTATAATTCATCATGAATGCATGTGCGCGCGAGGTATCTTCGCATTGATGATAAAACCAGCATTTGCCTATATATCTGTTAGCTTTCAACTTGTGCTACGATTCTTCAGATATCAAATGTATGCAAAGAAACTTCTTTCAATATTCTTTTATTTAAGGGATCTTGCTAAGCTAGAGTCATATAAGAATCTTTAAAATCGACTTAGCCGCGCAAAGAACCGCACCATGAAACAGAAAGTCGAAACAAAATTCAATATTTTCTTCGACTTTGGCGATCCATCTCCTTCGTAAGGAACATATGTATAGATAGTTATATGGAGAGAAACCCAATTTTGATTCTGTTTTCAGAAATAAAATCAGGACAGTGAGCATTTTAAACTGAGCCAATAAAAAAAAGGTCGAAAATTTCGTTGCAGTAGCACTTTAACTGTTCGCTTGCGCTAATGATCAATGATCAGGAAACACGGGCTTAATTTTTGATGCAACTGAATGAATTTCAATGTCATAAACCTTTACCTTGACCATGATAAGTAAAACAAGCCAATATCAGAAAACACAAAAATGTATTCATTCTGGGTGTTGAGTGTTGACGTGTTGTTGCTACAAATCGTAAAAAAATTTACAATCGTACGTAGAGGGAACTGTACATTTTCTGGCATTCCTGTTGTTGTTGAGGGGATCCTGCAATCTTTGTATTTTCAGGATAATTTGTATTCATACAATGTCTGCCGTTATACAGTTATGCACATGTGCCTTACTCATGCATGTATCAATAATTTACATGAAAAATAAAAGCTGTGATTAATTTTTCTTCATAACTCTCTACGCATGCATACAACTGAAAACTTCTTTTTTCGTTAAGCACTAAAGTTTCTATACGAGAATAACACTACAAGTGTTTCATACGAGAAAAAACAAACTATCAGTTAGTATTAGCCACTCAATATACAAATAAACGAATCATGATTAAAGCTTTTTATCTATACCTAAACGATGTTCTAAGAGATTCTTAAAACATGGTTAGAGTTCATCCGCGGAGAAGATCAGGAGTTCTCAATGACAAAAGACTCATGTTATCACCCTCAAATTTATTTCCTATTTGTAGCTATAACCGATTTCCTATAACAGATTATAGTATATTATTTCTGTTATTTGTATATTATTGCAGATGTTATAATATAATACTTATTAACCCATGGATTTCTAAGCAAAAACACCTGAAAGAAAGTTTGCAATGACATTTTGTTATTCCAAGGTGCTATTGTTGGATAGAATTTGTTCGCCGCTTATGGTATTTATATCAATTTGAGTATACATACACACATACATGATCAGTTTTAGTTTTTAGTTACAGTCTAAGACACGAAGTATTATTCTTTGGTATACGTATATACAATTAAACTGGTTTTACAAAAACTCTGGATTTAGGTATAAGATATAACATAAATCTGTAGATACTTACCCTCTGGGTTAGCTGAAATTTACACTCTTCTCCTTAAGTTAATGAAAGAAAAATTTCACTTAACAAAGCGTTGTGAACAATGAACTGATTTCATTTCGCCTTTTATAGAGATCTTCGTCATGCTATAAATAGGCGTTATAACGTGATGTTTGTTACAACAGCCGGGAAACTACGTGCATGCATTCATCTAGAAGAAGAGCACAAATATTGGCCTGTCTTTGTTTATACTTAAGAAAAAAAGATTATTATTATCTACTTCATTTTAATGTTGAAAGTACTTCTGACTGGCAATAGCCTAATTCATCTTCCATTGCACATGTTCTATATGTTTCTCCGCATGCATATCATTGAATTAGAATAGAAATTTGCATCATTTTGGGTAGATCAGCAAATTAGGGGCTGCTCATATGGGCCCAGTTACCCGAGATTCAACGAAGCATGAGAGGACTTTAAGGTACTAAAATAAATCTTTATGACACCAAACAAGTACATGCTATTGTTGCGGTGATCATGTTATCTGCTGATTTCAATACCTCAAAATCATCTCACGCTTCGTTGAATCTCGGGTAACCGGGCTCATGTGAACAGCCCCTTAGTTATAAACAAAATGCTACTAAAATTGGCCGGACATAGCGAGCAGGATAAGTTTTGGAGGGTTGCATCGCATGTCATTGGAAAAGCGCATTAGACGAAGAAAGAAAATCGTCGGTATAATGAATCAGTATGTTCGAATGTAATGCAAACAGAAGTCTCCGTAATCAGATCGTGGGAACGTGAACTCTCATATGCTCTGTTCTGCCCTACAGAGTTCTTCTAAAAACGCATATACGTACAAACGAAATACGTTTAAAACTGATTTATGAATATGCACCCCAAATTATCGCATCTTGTCTCGGTATCGCTGACCTAAAAGTCCAGTTACAACATTTCATACAGCGTGAAAAGGAAACTCAACCATTTACCAACACTAAAATAATTAAAGTTATAATATTTTACGCTGGACACCTATCACATGAAAGACGGTATTCGTTTAACCCATTTGATTTATTTTGTAGTGGCCCATTACGCTTTTCGATAACAAAGATTACCATTAACGATTCGTCGTCAAGTGCAAAAGGATAGGGAGTATTATCACTCAGTATCTCTCGATCCTGAGTTTGTTTTGCATTAAAAAAAACAAAACAAAAACTCAAGGTTTTTAGTTCATTGTTATAAATATGTTCTAATGCTATAAATGGTATATGTATATGCGTAAGAATTAAAGTAATTCCGAAAAATGAAAGCATAATACAAATTTTATTCTGGATATTTCGAATCAAGATCGATTAATCTTCAGCAGAATGGTTTACAAGATTATTAAAATCTTGTATATGTGCTAAAACTATCAGCTGGTAAAGGATTATATAATAAAGCATCGCCATCTAAAATTGTCCCGCTGTCTATGTTCCTGATGTTAGTAGAACTTTATAAATATACAACTGTATTGATCTACCCAAAATAAGTGAATATATTACATGCTGAAAAACATGCGTGGATAATATCCTTATTATGGTGGATTGATTGAGCTTTTGTCATTCGTGATCTGGTTTTGACTTAATGCAGGCATGCCCGCGATTTCCTGTCTCTTGTAAAATAATTACGACCATTTATAGCATTTTTTTATCTTTGTAAAATTTTTAATCAAAAATCAGTTCATTTTTCACAATGTATTATTCTTCAGTCCATTACGGGTTACAAAATCCAGAATATCAAAGAATACCATACCTAACTTTGACTTGCAGCGATGACAAGTGTTAATGCAATATCAAGGAGAAATATGCAAAGATAAAAAATGTGAAATGTCGAAAGAATAAAATTTGCTTTGATAAAGTGTTTGAATAAATAAAGTAAAGACATTGGTCGATTAATGTGCATATTAAAAATTTAATAGAGCTTTGAAGAAATGCAAAGGTTTATTTTAAACCTTGCAGATGCTTTTTATGAGTTACGCATTCACAATTTATTTTGGCAAAAGTTTACTACAAGAGACATTGTCGATTCAACGACATATTTAAACTCAGAAATATTTCTTATTCCACTTGACCATTTGTTTATGTAAACCTTTTCAAAATGATATTAGACTTCCAACCTTGGAAACCTCTTCACAATGATATTAGACTTATGTCGAATTTTCGGTCAAAAAGATGACTACTCGTCGTCAAGTCAAAATAATGGGAGTATATTACCACTCAGCATTCCTCTATCCTGAGTTAGTTTTGTACCAAAAGAGCGGCGTACTGCCTTATGTGCTCAATGATCTTTATGTCCTGTGCTTTTATGATTATAATAATGTAATTTGATCAATTTTATCCATTTAGACAAAATTCAGTTTCATCGTGTCGGAATTAGGTCAATCGGAACGAATTTCGTCTTTGTGGTGGTCCTTTTAAACGTCAATTTCCGATTTATAAAAGAGCTTTCGATTTATAAAAATAGCTACCAGTCGCTAAAAACGCGTCGAATTTTGCTTTTTTTTCGTTTTGGTACAAAACTGATTTAGGATCAGGGCCGAAACTAGAACGATAATTGGGGGGGGGGGTTCTTCATATATACAGTTCTGCCCGACGGATTTCTTTTGTAAGTACAATAGTTCACAATTGAAATCCGTCGGGCAGAACTGAATATATGAATAAACACCCCCCCCCCCCAATTATCGTTCTAGTTACGGCCCTGTTTAGGATAGACAAATAATGACTACAGATTGATAATACTCCCCGTCCCCTGCAGTTAGGAGTCGCCGTTCAGTTGTTATATCTTTTCTTTGAAACTCAGACGCCACGCAAGGTCAAAAGTCTAATATCATTGTGAAGAGGTTTACATAAACAAAGAGTTAAGCAATTAACATTTTCCAGAATGAATTTGTTATTCCGTTCACATTAAAAAACACGTCGAATTTTGCTTTGCTCTTTTAGGACAAAACTAAGGATAGAGGAATTCTGAGTGATAATACTTCCCCACCCTCTTGCACTTGACCACGAGTCGTCAATGGCCATCTTTCTCATTGAAAATTAGGCATCAAAATCAGTACGCCAAGGCCGGAAGGGTAATATAATTATGGTAGCATGGTAGCATCTCTTACAAGTCTCTTACATTAAACCTTTGGCGAAATAAATTGTTAAATGCCTAACCCTGAAAAAGCATCGTGCAAAGTTTTATAAAGTAGCCCTTGCATTTCCTGCAATATTGAATTGCATTCTATAAACTTCTTAATATATACATTTCCTGACCAGATGTTTTTACTCATATTTCATATTTTATCTTCGTATATTTCTCTTTGATAGATTACATGAACACTTGCCTTCGCTGCAAGTTTGCAAGTCTAAGAATTGTAATTTGTGTGTTACATGATGCACTTAGGCTATATGCATTATGAATATTTTACATTTTGTATCCGCTAATATATAGTGAAGGATATACGTTGTGAAGGATTTATTTCGCCAAAGGTTTAATGTAAGAGACTTGTAAGAGATGCTACCATGCTAGCATAATTATATTACACTTCCGGCCTTGGCGTACTGATTTTGATGCCTAATTTTCAATGAGAAAGATGGCCATTGACGACTCGTGGTCAAGTGCAAGAGGGTGGGGAAGTATTGTCACTCAGAATTCCTCTATCCTTAGTTTTGTCCTAAAAGAGCAAAGCAAAAGTCGACGTGTTTTTTAATGTGAACGGAATGACAAATTCATTCTGGAAAATGTTAATTGCTTAACTCTTTGTTTATGTAAACCTCTTCACAATGATATACCTTTTGACCTTGCGTGGCGTCTGAGTTTCAAAGAAAAGATATAACAACTGAACGGCGACTCCTAACTGCAGGGGACGGGGAGTAATATCAATCTGTAGTCATTATTTGTCTATCCTAAACAGGGCCGTAACTAGAACGATAATTAGGGGGGGGGGTGTTTATTCATATATTCAGTTCTGCCCGACGGATTTCCATTGTGAGCTATTGTACTTACAAAAGAAATCCGTCGGGCAGAACTGTATATATGAAGAACCCCCCCCCCCCTTCCATTATCGTTCTAGTTTCGGCCCTGATCCTAAATCAGTTTTGTACCAAAACGAAAAAAAAAACAAAATTCGACGCATTTTTAGCGACTGGTAGCTATTTTGTAAATCGAAAGCTCTTTTATAAATCGGAAATTGACGTTTAAAAGGACCACCACAAAGACGAATTTCGTTCCGATTGACCTAATTCCGACACGATGAAACTGAATTTTGTCTAAATGGATAAAATTGACCAAATTACATTATTATAATCATAAAAGCACAGGACATAAAGATCATTGAGCACATACGGCAGTACGCCGCTCTTTTGGTACAAAACTAACTCAGGATAGAGGAATGCTGAGTGATAATATACTCCCATTATTTTGACTTGACGACGAGTAGTCATCTTTTTGATCGAAAATTCGACATAAGTCTAATATCATTGTGAAGAGGTTTCCAAGGTTGGAAGTCTAATATCATTTTGAAAAGGTTTACATAAACAAATGGTCAATTGGAATAAGAAATATTTCTGAGTTTAAATATGTCGTTGAATCGACAATGTCTCTTGTAGTAAACTTTTGCCAAAATAAATTGTGAATGCGTAACTCATAAAAAGCATCTGCAAGGTTTAAAATAAACCTTTGCATTTCTTCAAAGCTCTATTAAATTTTTAATATGCACATTAATCGACCAATGTCTTTACTTTATTTATTCAAGCACTTTATGAAAGCAAATTTTATTGTTTCGACGTTTCACATTTTTTATCTTTGCATATTTCTCCTTGATATTGCATTAACACTTGTCATCGCTGCAAGTCAAAGTTAGGTATGGTATTTTTTGATATTCTGGATTTTGTAACCCGTAATGGACTGAAGAATAATACATTGTGAAAAATGAACTGATTTGTGATTAAAAATTTTACAAAGATCAAAAAAATTCTAGAAATGATTGTAATTATTTTACAACAGGCAAGAAATCGCGGGCATGCCTGCATTAAGCCAAAACCAGATCACGAATACTGGCCTGAGATATGGCGTCTCTGTCATTACTGGCAAAAGCTTAATCAATCCACCATATTAAGGATATTATCAACCTATGTTTTTCCGCATGGATTTTATTCATTTATTTTGGGTA